CATCAAGACCAACTCCGGCGAGACCGGCGAGGTCTACAACATCCGCTACGAGAATATCACCCTCTCCGGCATCTCGGACTACGGGATTGATGTCCAGCAGGATTATCTGAACGGCGGGCCCACCGGCGAGCCGACCAATGGGGTCATGATTGAGAATGTCACGTTTGTCGATGTCACCGGCACCATGAGTGATGGCAAGGATTACTATATCCTGTGTGGCGATGGGAGCTGTGAGAACTTTACGTTCGAGGGCGTGAGTATCACCGGCGGGAGTGGGGATAGTTGCAATTATCCGGATAGTGGGTGTCCTTAGGTAGACGAGGGGTTGAAGAGGGGGAGGTGGTGGTGGTGATGGGGGAATCGGTGGTGAGAGTGGACCGGTGGCGCGGTTTGTATCTATACTATACTTTACTATCAATAAAGAGCTGTGGATCGGCATTTGGTTGATGTGTAGGTGGGGGGAGCTGTAAGGTTGACTGCATCGTGCAGCTGTCTACCTACGTTGTTAAGGTTAGCTGTGCTGGACAGTACATCCGCATACTGCAGTGACAGTGTACAGGCCCAAAATCAACATCTACGTACGCACATCAATGCATTGAACTATAAGCAAAGACAACCACCCCACCTGTTTATCGGAAGATTTTCGTAGACCAGTCGCCCAGTCCACCTCGTCCCTGTCTATCCTGTATCACATTAGTGCAACCGCAAACACCCTGAATCATTAGCATGCAACCCCGGACAACATGCACTCGCACAAATACATGGCATAAACTCATAATGCATCACAGCAACCCGTCCACACATGCTGGTCGTCCCCAACTGGCATAAAGCAATACATGCAACCACCATAATGCCCAATGCTGGCCACCACACCGAATGCACAACTGAATGCACCACAGAAGGCAAGCTAAGAACTCCCCACCCAGACTGACACCGTCGCAGACGTCGTATAAATCATGAATCCAAACCCCAGCACCACCATCGCGATGTCGCCGCGCTTGACCCACGACGACTGCGCCACCCCCTTGTAGTGCAGATACGCCGGGTAGATGTACACCAGCGGCACGCAGGCGAAGGAGCCAATCAACGAGACAAACTTGTCCAGGTCCCCGGCGCCCACGGCGGACAGCACCCCGCAGCCCAGCACCGCCACCGTCCGGAACACGTTCTTCTTCCACTTGATCATCGGGTCCCGCTTGCCCGACCCCTGCCCGAACAGCTTGCCCTCCAGGATGCGCACGGCCGGGAACAGCTGGATCGGCGTGCTGATCAGGATGGCCAGCGAGTAGATCAGCTGCAGCGCGTTGACAAACCGGTCGCCCTGCGGGAAGTTGCTGATGATCTCCGTCTTGGTGTCCGCGCCGAACGTCGCGTACGAGAGCGCCCCGACCGCCGTGAAGAGGACGGTGATAATCCCCATCACGAGGTAGAGGAGCCGGTCGAAGTGTTCCGGGTGCTTCATGGACGACTGGATCGGCAGGATCAGCCCGATGCCCTCGAAGGTGAAGATGCACGACCCGATGGTCAGCGTGAACGACTGTCGGTTGAACAGCTCCACCGTCGACGCCAGCCCGCGCGAGGCCAGGCTCGCGATGTCGTAGCAGTAGATGTAGCTGAGTCCCATCAGGATGAACACGTCCGCCAGTAGCGCCACGGGCCCCAGTTTGGAGATGTTCCGGATCAACGCCATCGGGACCAGCACCACCAGCTGCAGCCCGATCAGAGCCCCCGTGGTCAGCGCCTCGGGCGGCGCGGAGCTCACCGCCGTCATGAACGAGTGGACATTCTCCGCCGTGAAGATGATGCACGCGCACACGAACCCGAACTGCGAGATGGCGATCGATGACAGAATCAGCGACCGCGCGCGTGGGCCGGCAATCTGCTCTCCGATGTCACCGTAGCCTCCCCCGTACCGTCTCCGACACTCCAACAACAGATGGAAGCACAGAGTACTGATAAGTGACACCGTGACGAGCGTGATGGAGGAGAACAGGATCCCTCCATTGCGGAAGGCCTTGGGGAGGAAGATGATGCCCGTGCCCACGAAGGCCTTGAGCAGCGTGAAGAAGGTCTTCACGTTGGACGCATCCCCCGGCCGACTGACACGGGCGCTCTTCCGGCGCCGTAGCAGCGGGCTCCGCTCATGGGCCTCCCGTTCTTCTTCCTCCGCGATCGCCGATTCCTCCTCATCCGTATCGACCAAGTCCTCGCCCGCGAAGTTGCCGTAGTTGTCCAAGAAGTCGAGGAAGGAGGCCGTCACGCCCCGTCCATCCAGCCGACCGTACTTGTTCTGCAAGAAGTGACGCCGGAAGCTGCCCGGTTCGAGTGCCGCGACGCTCTCCTCGACGGCGTCGTCGTTCTGGCGGGGGAGGTGGGAGAAGGTCAGGGCGCGTTTGTCGAGGCGGGCCTGCTTGGAGCGGGCGTCGATGCGGTACAGGTCCCGGTGGATATCTCCGCCTTGGAGTCTCAAGGAGGACTGAGGCTCGGGGCCGGACTCGCCGGAGTTGTGCTCGTCGGGGGCATCGGGAGGGGCGAGTTCCTCCTGTAGCGAAGCGGTGAACTGTGGGTCGAGGTGTTGGGACAGGATGTTCGCCTCCCTGGGATCAGGGTCGACGGTATCCCGGAAGGATGAGCTGGTAAAGTCTGCCATTGTTAGTGGAATGGAAAGGTAGTGTGAGGAGCAAGCATTGTTGGATGAAGAGAGAGTGCAAAGAAGTCAAGGGCGAAGGGGTGCAGCAGCAGCAGCCCCATCATGTAATGGTGATGACGCTGTTGATGGGGCGCATTGCGAACTGAGGGAAGAGAAGCCACGGGATGCTCTTGGCTGGGTGTGATTGGCCAGGGACTCCCCCCGTCAATGCGACACGTGACCGTTAGGTTCTCCGGTGGCGGCTGACTCAGCGGACACCTGCCAAATCAGGCATCCTTCCCGTCTCTTTGTTTCGGTGGGTTTCCCTGCCTGAAGCATGAAGCAAGCCACCATCGCTCGCACGTACAGTTGACAGTACTAGGTTACACTGAGAAAAGAACCCATTTGTTTTGTGTTTTTGACACAAGCAAAAGTGACGTAACCAAATCCGAAATGGATACCTCCCTTCCCTCATATTCAACGGCAGAAAATTAGTTCAATCATTCTCAGCCATTTCCCAACAGACAAAGCTTGGTGACCTAGGCATTTTCGCACTTCACAGATTGCTACTTACTCGACCCCTGACGTACAAGATCAGGTCCTGCAAGGTGACTCTGTAATTGTCGAGGCGGCTCTTCAAGCTCTGCTACCGTTCTATTGCTGCAAGCTCAGCTTCTCTTCGCTGTAGATATGTTGTGTTAGTCGTAGCATTGACATGCCTAGGTGGTACTGCTGGCGGGAACAAAGCCTTGAGCGAAAGTGCAGCGATACCGAACCTTGCTTAGTCCTTTTGTCTTATTCTTTGTTGACAGCCAAACCCTGCACAATAGCAATAATGAACACTTTTGGTCTTGAAAATGAGTAGGATTTCTTTGAATCAACTAACTAGTGGCCGTGCCCTCAAGTTGCAACCTTCAGGCGGATTGCTTCATCCCCTGTAATGATTCATATTCAAAAGAATATCCCATGGCTCTGCTGAAGATGATCCCATCTCGAGGACCGGGGTCAAGGGCTTACGGGGTCCACGGGGTCCACGGGTAACAAATGCGTTACCTACAGGAACTCAAAAGAACCGGGCTGTCTTTATCATTATGATCAATGAGGTCAAGGCTGGCCAGTGTTAGTAGTCACGCAGAGACCTATTGTATACTACCATTGTATCCCTGTTCAAGTTTAGCCAGTCATACTTTGTTTTACACAAGGACTCCCTCTCCAAGGAAAAATTGAAAAATGGGCAATCGGTGTTACTAAATTTCAGTATTATGGGCTACTGACAATGATGTGGTTCACTTAATCGGTCCCGAAGCTTTATCTTGATAAACTTGATTCTTGGTCGTCCAGTGGAGCGTGAGTGAGATCTGTATCAGGGAATAGTCTCCAGCAATCCATACCGAAAGAAATATCAGTAGTCCCGCTATCGAGCTTTTGACTTGCGTGCTCTGTTAAGAGAACTACTAAGTACAGATTTTTCAAAAAAAGGCATCAAGTCACCAGTCATGTATCTTAGTTAATCATCCTACCTCCCTGCCCGCACAAGTCGAAACTGGCAGTACATCTCAAAAAATGTTCAAAATTCAACAAAAATGGGTGATGTAGATTGGGACCGATCACCCTGACTTATTCTACCAGACAAATCAAACACTTACTATTTGGGAGACTTCTTCTACACTCTATGGTATTTGAACCTCACTTAAAAATTTTGGCGATTACATGTACTCTGAATGGCCAGGCGGGGTTGTCGCTAACCCGGCGCTTAACGCATCTCAAGATGTTTCGCTTTTCGACAATCCATGAATCAATCCAGAATATTCTAAGCATGCCCAGTGAAATGAAACTGCTTTTACTTTCTTTCTTCCATCCTGGCTTGCCGTCTTGCTTTCTCTCCCGATGCTTTCTTTTCCATAAAACAGTGTGCTACTTAGACAGGGTCGCCAATAACGAACAATGACGAACTAGCTTTCATGCCATACTAAGCCCGCCACATGGTATTTACTTGACCTCTTCCCTACCACTTCGTAGTCTCACTCAAATGGCGCCTCGATGAGAGACTAAGTAGCATCTCGGCGTCTAACATCCTTTTTCTTGGAGGAAAACAAAGGTCCTCATATCTTCTCATCCAATCGACGGACATGAGTTAGCGGCGCGTATGTTGGCTTCCAGCTCTCGGCGATTCGCTCTCAAGAGCCTTGAAGCCAGCTTACACCCCTGCATCCCTGTAGTGACGTGGCAGCCAGTCACTCTTGATAAAAAAGACCGCTCACCCGTGTTGGAGAATTACATGCCCTGCTATACTCATCCTTCAACACCTCCGAGCGACCTCTTCATCCTACTCTCCAACAGACTCATCGTTTTGTCGGTATAAAATCTAACGATGGACACCGAGTTCGGCGAGTAAGTACCCGATGATGAAAGTTCTGGAATCAACCACGCCCAGCTCACGAATAGCAGAATAATCTCATCCCCACTCTTTACCTTCATCATTGGCAAAGCAAAGAAGGAAATCACGGTTCATGCCCAGGCTCTGGCCAGCTTATCATCCACACTTGACAAACTGATAAATGGCGAGATGATCGAGGCTAAAACTCGTTGGGTGGACTGGTCGGAGGTCACCGACGAAGCCACCTTCCTGCGGCTATGCGAATATGCGTATGTACGCGACTATACCCCACCGCCGTGCTCGTACAGAGAGGTAAAACCTCTGAGCGTTCCAGTATCGAAGTCTCCAGAACCGATTGAAGAGATCTTTGATGTGCCAGCCGAGCCTGAGTTTCCAGCTGCGTCTCCAACACCGCTTGATTCACCAGAACCCACTTATGGTGTGTAATTGCCCAGTGGTTTTTCTCCATTTGCTCCATGACGAGAAGTCTGATAGGCTCAGAAACGACGAGAAGCTGACTACAAGACAATCAGATCTTGGGCATCTTCGAAAGCCACCAGTGAATGCCTCCAACACAGCGATCTTTGACGGTTACATTCTACCGCGCAAGAATCCTAAGAAAATGCGGTGGCTACGTCGCCTGTTTGATTTTGACAAGTTCAAGGAACAGCACTGGCACGATGACTTCAGAGTAAACAAGTATGCTCCCAAGGGGAATTCGCACCCTCGCGAAGACTTTACAGATGTCTTTGTGGGGCATGTGGAGCTCTATATTTTGGCTGACAGGTATGGGGTCCTCCAACTCAAAGAGTTGGTTAAATATAAGCTGGCAGCCACATTAACGCAGTTCACCCTATGCCAACACAATGTCATCGATTTGGTGGAACCGATTCAATTGCTATACCAAAACACTTTGCCCGGTGATGCCTTGCGAGCTTTGATTGTAGGCTATGTCCTCTCGGTGCTTGATCAGATAGGGGCTAGTGCCGATTTCCAAAAGCTATTGGCAGAAGGTGGAGAGTTTGTTCTTGATTTCTGGAAGACATACTGGGAAGGTTAATGAAAGAGCGCGGTTGCTCTGAAATTCTGTTTGATTTTTTTTGGTGTGCCTGTTTCCAAAAATACAAAAGAAAAAAAGAGGCTTGTTCTTCCGGCCGTCCGTTGTTCTTGGGGTATCTGGGGTAGAAGATACGCTTCAGCGCAGCATAGGACTAGAATTGTTCTGTTCCTATCCGCTGACTTGTCTTGGAGCTTTCTCGACATGATTTTCCAGTGGTGGACTGCGGGTATATCGGTATGAGCGGTGAGAATTGACCAATTATGAACACCTTGGAAACGAACTCTCTCTTTCGCATGTTCACATACTTCTCACGATACTTGGAAGCATGGCCACATCGATGCAACCCCCTTGATTATCTCACGGAGCATGATAACTTTTACTCCACCCAGCGAGGTATTCCGCACCATATCACAGCTTGGCCGACTCACCCTTCCGCAACTTCTGATGGGCGTGCGCAAATGTGTCTGTGACGACCGACGCAGCAGTGCTGAGCTCCAACCCCAACGCGAAACAGGCTAGAAACCCGGCGAACTGTCTCTTCCTCTCTGGTCCGGCACACTGCATGATCTCTAGAGCTTCACGCTGCGTGTCGTATACCGTGCCCCCACCGACGACACCCACGGGAATGGAGGGAAAGTACATGCTGATGGTGATGCTGTTCCTGGCTCGGTCGTAGAGCGAGCTGCCGTGGCTCCACGAGGCATCCGCGACACTCGCGGCGTCCTGGCCGGTGGCGATGAACACGCTGGTCAACACGTTGACGGCGTCAATGTTGCTTCCGTGGATTCCATTGCGGATGCATCCGTCTCGCGCCATGTGCAGCACGTCATGCAGGTCGGCCGCGGAGCAGCCCAGCACCTCCTGGCAGGTTTCGTCCGGCAGGCACGCCCACGCCGTGACCTCGACGCCGCGCGGGGTTACCACGTTGCCCCACGAGGGCTTCTTCTCCGAGCTCATCTGCCCGTCGACGTAGAAGCGCTTGATCTTGTACTGCGCCGCATACGTCTCCATCAGCCAGACACAGCACCGCTGTGTGGCGATGCTGACCATGTTCTGGCCCGCGGCATCTCCGCAGGTGTAGTTGAACACCACATGGGCGTAGCACCCGATCAGGTGCGGCGTGATACTCATCAGCTTCAGGTGGTTACTGGTCGACTCGGCCACTTCGCTAAGGGTGTTCTCTACATAGGAGAGAATATCGATGAAATCCTGCGCTTCTCGGGGATTCGCGAATAGGAACGCGGGACCCCGCGACATGCCTTCCCTGCCGAGGATATACTCCACCCCGCCACTGGCGTTCAACGCTTTGCAGCCTCGACTGCAACTGGCAATCAGAGCCGCTTCTGTTGTGGCCATGGGCGCACATATTTTGAAGGTTTCACCATCGGGGGTGCGAATGTTCAGGGGTCCCGCGAGGCCGACCGGAACCCGCGTATAGCCGATGAAGTTCTCGATCTGAATCTGCGAGGGTTTGGCGTCGTGCTCGGTGATATGCTTGGCATCTTCGAGGTAGGGACGGATCGTCTCGGACATTCGTTTAGAAGGTGGAGCCATGGTGGCTGATGCTTCCGAATAAGTGCTTGGTATGAGTTGATGCTTCATTGTCTCTTTATACTTCTGGTCGGAAATGTGGATCGAGGATAAGCTTTCCCACAACCAGAAACAGCAGGCTTCTGCACGCCAGCTTCAAGCTTTGCTGGTGTCGGTCATGACTTCCGAGCTTGAGACCATGATAAATCCTGGAACCGGGGGCGAATTCTGGTGGAATCCTGGTCAAGGTGAGGATTAGCAGCAAAGCCTGAGTGTCAGTTGCTTGATTGGGATATCGTCAACCGAATCCCACGGCTGGAATACAATGCCGACGAAAACCATCATGCCTCTGCATTCTTACTCATCTGTCATAATTATACATATCAACTGACACCGATGCCTGAGGCTGCAGGCAGGCCTGCGCTAAATCGGATCTGACGCCATCGTGCAGATCATCCATGCATGATGCCTACGATGTCACAACCAAGCGGAGCAAAGACCGGCCGATCAAGCATTTCGACCGGTCACTTATTAATAATTAGTGGTGTGCGACCATATTTCCTCCTAGATCAAGTGCATATAAGCCTTCGACCTCAGACTCTGTTGCCTCCTTTTCTCTTCACTCTTACCACCAAACCAAATCCCGCAACATGACCATCGGAATTGCATTCATCGGAGCAGGTAAACACCTTGACAGTCCACGACCGAACCTCACACCCCTAATGCACTCCACTAGGGCTCTTCGTCAAGGACTACCATCTGGTACGCAAGCCATACCGACCAAGGCAACAAGAAACTCACCCTCGCAGCCAGGAGTCCAAGCCTCCCCCGACCTCGAACTGGAAGCCGTCTATTCCCGCTCACTGAAATCAGCTTCCAGCATCGCCCCTGACCAGCAGATCGACCGCTACGCCGACGACGCGCCCCAGGGCCTCGACCAGCTTCTCGCGCGGGATGACATCCAAGCCGTGATCATCGCGTGCGTCAACTTCCCTCCCAACAATGCACCTCCAACACCACAGACCCAACTAACTCGTGAGTTTCTAAAGCCTCCCCATAACTAACCAAGCAGCATACGTCCGCGCCGCCCTCAGCGCCGGAAAACACGTCCTCTCCGAGAAACCCATCGCCAAGGACCTGGCCGAAGCCACCGCCCTGCTGGACTGGTACCGCTCCACCATCGTGCCCCAGGGACCTGCTGCCCCGACGTGGTCCGTCGCCGAGAACTACCGCCACTTCGACAGTCTCCGCCAGGGCCGCGCCCAGCTGGCCCGGCTCGGTCGCATCCGCCAGTTCCGGACGCAGGTGTACTTCGATTGTCGGCCGGGGAAGTTTGTTTTCTGGCCTTTCTTCGGTAAGTTTGCCCTTCCCAGTCAGAAACTTAGACTGTGGTTGTGGTTGTGGTTGTGGTTGGTGGGTCTGGAGTATCGCGACTGATGTTTTGCTTGGACAGCACTCGCCTGGCGCCAACAGCCCGAGCACCAAGGAGGAGCCGTCCTGGATATCGGGGTGCACCATGTCGCTGCGATGCGGTATCTCCTGGGCGGCGGCGGGCCGGGCGAGCGGATCACGCACGTGAGTGCGTTCGTGGGGAGCTTCGCTGATGCATTGCCGCCGGTGGATACGGTGGATGCGGTACTGCGCACGGAGTCTGGGGCGCAGGGGACGTTCCAGCTGTCCGGGTGTTCGAGCTTGGAGGAGAGTGGATGGACGGCGGTCGGGGAGAAGGGCCATGTGCGGGTTACTGACGATGAGGTGGCGGTGCATGTGGAGGGGGAGGAGGACGAGAGGCAGACGTTGCCGGTGGACAAACTGGCGGTTGGTAACGAGATCAGGGCGTGGGGGGAGGCGTTGATCTCTGGGGAGATGAAGGCTGAGCAGCGGCCGGAGGAGGCGTTGGCGGATCTGGAAGTGGTATGTTCTCGTTCTATTGATGCGATAAAGTGGTGGTTTGATGAAAGTTGACTGACTGACTGGATGTAGATCGAGTTGATTCTGAAGAGTGGCAAGGAGAATGGGGCACCGCAGGTCACAAAGTATCAGTGCTGATCTATGAGATCTTGACCGGGTACAGCGCTTTGCACAACTGCTACTATCATCTCAGACTAATTCAGAGTTGTTTCCCGACCTTATACTGACAGCACCAGTCCGTTGACAATCAGTAGTACAAGGAGAGTCTGTTAGCATTAAGCAAGGCACGATGTTCTTCCGGCACATCTCACACAAGTTACTTACCGTACATGAAGCATCAACAAAATGCATATCTGATGGCCCCAGCTGGCCCACTCAAGCACGCGCCATGCTTCCGGCTGCTGAGCTTATAATGCATACAATTGTCGATCACTTTGATACTGAGTTTCCTCGCTAGATAACCAATTTTTCACAGATTCGACCCGTCAAAGAATAGGAAATAGTCCCGCTGCATTCGGCTTCTACGCGATAGGATAGGGCATCTGAATCCAAAATAAAGAGCCTAGTTATAGATATAAATCGCCAAAGACGGTTGTAATACAAGCGACCTCGTGTCCGACCCAAGTATAACCAAACATACTCCTTGTTCCAAAAACATCCATCGTGGCAGAAAACCTACTCCGCCGTCTGCCTATAAACGTCCCAGCGCGCAAGAGCCCCCTACCTAGACCAGCGAAAATCAGTACGATCGAACAAATCAAGCCCCAAAGCGGTTCGGTTCATATTGAAAAATTCCTTGAGCTCCCCAAGTCCGTCATAGTCTGCGGAACTCATCGTCTCAAGTGGTTCGGGGGCATCCGGCTCGGGAGGCACATCAGCCAGATGTGCATTTGGACCAGTAGCTGGGTACCCGCACGAGTTGATTGAAAAGTCTATAAGATGCGGTAATTGGCGAAACTGCGTAAGGACCGCGTGCCAGGTGCCGGAATGCAGTTGTACCAAAGATAACTCGATGTGCTTGAGATTATATTTGCATTGTTCTATAAGTGCGCGGAAGTGGTCGAAGGTGATGAGGACTCGACTGAGGCATAGAGAGGTGAGATGAAGCGCCGGGCTGAAGTGAATAGCGTAGAATGAGAGAAGGTCTGTACTGGAGATGGAGAGAGCTTCTAAGTGAGGAGCCAGCTCCACTAGTCTAAGGAGATGGGCTGCGTGTAAGTCATTCGGCAAGGCGGCGTGCGTGGGGAGTACATCGGTTTTCCAATATCGCTGACCCAACTCCTTGGTATACGCAGTAAGATGCGAGGACAAAAACTTCAGGCCGTGCAGTAGATCTTTCATGGGTATGTGCAATGGAGTAGAATGGATGGGGAAAAGGCCCCCAAAATCATGGGCTAGGGGAAAGAATAGCTCCAGCCCTTCCAAACAGGGTAAATTCACATATCGCAGGGCAGCAACAACTGCTTCAATGGCAGTTCTTTCGTGATCACGTGTGATAGCAGGCTCTTCGTGGTCGCGTGTCGATAATTGGCATGAAGCTCTGAATTATAAAACGCGCAAATTAGCTAGTCGGGCAAGACAAGGCGAGAGCAATCCGGCAAGATCCTGGATATCTTGACCGAGTGACGAGCAGGAATTGGAGCCCCATCGGTCGTGCCCAATCTCTAGATGGCGGACATTTGCAGCACATTTGCTTTCTGAGATTTCGGCTACTCTTTGTAGAAGGTTTCGGTCGCCCCTTGAGGAGCTAAGTGAAGCGATGATGTGTTTGAAAACATGACGCGACGCGGAGGCACAGAAATTCCGGCTAACCAAGCGTAAGCTTATAAGGCACGAGCAAGTATCTCGCTCTAGCGCATGAGGAAAGAGATCGCGAAACGAGTAGTCTTGTTCATCTACCAGTGTTGCTACGTGATCAACAATCTCAGGACCGAGTTAACATAACCCCTGGTGTCGCGCACGGGGGTCATACCATGTCGCAGATCTCGACGGGCATAACTAGTGCCATCTTGTAAATACCGCCGTTGGATTCGGTAACAGACTTATCGAAGCGGGCCTCTCGTGAAGATTGATTCTCTTCTCGTTGTGGTGTAATATGGGGTCAAATGACCCTGGTGGGGATGAGAGACGTGTACCAACAATTGTATAAGCAATATCCGCGTGGATTATCAGCGCATTAGACGCTATACCTCCGTGCCTCAGTTAAGGACTATTGCCAGGCGCTCAATTGTTCTTTAGTCCACACTAGAACTGACCTTTTTCCGTGGCTGGCGCAGTGGAGAATTTTGAGTTGCGCATCATCAATTGATCATCCAAAGCAGCCAATTGTGCCGTACAAACGTTTGACAAATGCCTCCGGCCCACGGGCATCACGCCCTCTTTATACTTCATCCACGTAGCGTAAACGAATCCATCGGGCTTCGCCCCCCAAGGCGGAGCCTAGAGACTCCATTCATTACCTTAACCAAATTAACACCATCACACCCTCTTCATACCCGAAGCGGGTAGGTTGATGCATTACAAGATCTGCCTTGTAGTACAACCTTTTCCTTATAACTTGCACGACACGCGCGTTCCCTCCATTTACCGTACCGATAGTTGGCATAACCATTGTATCAAAGATTCCAACACTTGGAATCTTGCCCTCTGCGGCTCCCTCTCGCCTATCGCTGTGAGGACGCTACCAAACTCCAGTTCCGAAGCGTAAAAATCATCAAGCGTATCAACAACCTCCTGCACAGATATCGAACCCTGCGATATTTCCGCGTCGCGGAGCCATTCTTCCAGAGGCGTAAAATCATCCCACACGAGTCGCGACCACTGCTTCAAGCACTTCGAAATCGATATCTCCATGCCGCTGCTATCAAGCATAGAATCCACGCTACACAAAGCATCTTCGACCCTATCTTCCATGTCATTCTCCGCAAAGAACCCTTTTCATAAACGCCCTCTGATACTCGAAAGGCTGTGAAAATTCGTTCCACATCCTGCACTCACCTAACGCCGGACCTACCTCCCGCTATATTTGCACTGAAGTGCTCCGCTAACTACTGCGATCGTGTCACCTGACATTTACAACACTAACCCTCGCGGCTCCGAGGGTATACCTTTCTTCTCAGGTAATTGGTCACCCAACCCGGCCGTCATCTGACCCTTGGGACTAGTTTCCTTAAACGGAACTACCCCAATTTCAATACCTGCCGCCCGGCAGAATCGTCCCGTATCGTTCCACAGAACCACTAGTAAACTTTCTATCCGGAAACGCTATCTCCCGTACGCTGCCTAGGTATCGGCCCTGGGCCAAGCCCATTGGAATGATACTCCCGCCCCCTGCGGGTCCCCCGGACGGTATCGTGCCATGCCATAAATGGCAATTTTTTACCGCGTAGTGCGTAGTAAAAACGCGTCATTCGGAGAGAAATGTAAATTGCCAGTGGTGCCTAACCCCGCAAAAGGCCTCTTGCGAGTGTGAGTTTCGAGGGGATATATAAATTGCCTAGCTTGCGGTATCCTTCTTACTTTCCGTATGTTGGCTGTGAATCTTCTAGGGATGTTTTCTGTATTCGCGGTACCGTTGTTCTTCTATATACCTGTGATCCTTATACGTACGGATGGAGGTGTAGACTCGGGTGCGGGGCATGGGCAGCAGAATGAAGATCATGGAGGTGGTGCGGCTGCGGAGAGGCCTCGGGGCGCAGAGAGCAGGGTATGAATGACAATTCCATAACAACCTTCTTTGGTTTTCCTTCCAAATCCCAATTTAATAGTGAGGCTGTATAGGGCGGTGATGCAGATGGACATTGTCAAAGGTCATCTGCGGCAGATCCGACCGATGACTCGGTGGACGCCGATGGCGATTCTCAAATGGAGGATGTCTGAGACTGCAACAATGGTGGCAGGGATGAATTCGAGGTGTCAGTAAAGGTATTCTGAAATTTCTGATGAAAGAGTTGAATGGTTTTTGAGGTTGATGGGTAATCGAGAGTGACATGCACAACGAATGCAATGAGCCGGGTGGGGTTAGGTACATAATGCGATCTATGGTAATTAGTATAGCTAGGAACGACCTGTTAGGGAATATATGAGCTAGTCGCACCCTCATTAGCAAATCTACAAAGACCACGAACGGTCGCGAGAAGCCTTCATTTCATATGCTTGCGGAGGATACACGTTGCGTTGCTTGATATACTAGTTTAAGCGCTGTATCATGCGTTGATTCTTGATTACTGAGGGTATTTGGTTGTACACAGCGAACCAGTTAGGTTGTTAGCATCTTGATGAAGCACCATAGCTTGCCGCATTAGGCGATTCGAGCCCCCTCGCAGGGCTCCCTGGGGTGATTGAACTTGAATTGAATTCTATCGAATTCGAAAGAATAAGTCATCCATGTAAAGAGACAGTTACACGCGTGTGCAGGTGTATATAGCAGCCAGACGGTTTGATGCTCGATGACAATAGCGTCACCTGAACAGAGACTATTGACATATGCGAGTGAGTTTGTATCCTAATAATGTTTCCACTCGTAGTAAGACGGAGACTATCGAGGCTCAGAGGTACAGGAACACAGCCACCAAGGCTTTGTGGCTTGGTCAGCGAGGCTGCAGCTCAGCTGCGCCAGCTGCGCCAGCTGCGTGTGCTGCATGTTTGTGTGTGAACTGACAAGGTGATAGTAGTCTTGGCAAGGCGCCAGGCTGTGTCAGCCTTTGTCTGGGACTCAGCTTGAAAGAGGGGAGGATACCCGCTGCATCCAGTGGGCGAACAGTGTATGCACGTCGTTACCAGTCTTAGGAACTCATCCATCTATATTTGGAAGACCTGTGACATTATCAATATTTATCATGGCTACACCAAGGGCTCTCGAGAGCCCGGACCTCTACAACATCGGCTGGATTACCGCCCTGCCCATCGAGCGAGCCGCCTCGACTGCAATGCTTGACGAACGTCATGATAAGCCCCGTGGCTTCGTCCAGCACCCAAGTGACACGAACGCGTACACTTGGGGCAGGATTGGCGAACATAACCTTGTCATCGCCTCGCTTCCTGCAGGCCAGATTGGGACTACTCCCGCCGCGACAACGGCATCGAACCTACTCGCCTCCTTGCCACAGATTCGAGTCGCCTTGCTGGTGGGCATCGGTGGCGGTATCTCCCGGCCGGAGGAGGGAAGGGATATAAGGCTCGGAGACATTGTGGTCAGTCAGCCACAAGGGACAACCGGCGGCGTGGTGCAGTATGACCTGGGGAAGGCGAAGCTCAACAAGGAGTGGGAGCAGAGAGGATTCCTCAGCGCGCCACCACCGGTCCTGCTGCATGCATTGGCAGCGATACAGGCCGAATACGAACTCGGGGAGTCAAGGATAGCGGAATTCCTCGGCGGCACGCCAAAGCTAAAGAAGGGCGTGAGCGGGTACTCTCACCAAGGCTTTGAGAATGACCGACTCTTTAAAGCCTCCTTTGATCATACAGGCGCGGCAAACTGCGCCAACTGCAACAATGAGGAGGTTATAGAACGCATTCAGCGGGATACTACCGATCCAGAAGTTCATTACGGCATCATTGCCTCCGGGAATACCGTGGTGAAGAACGCTCTTACTCGTGACGAGATCGTCCAGGAAGTCGGCGAGGATTGCATGTGCTTTGAAATGGAAGCGGCCGGCCTGATGAATCATTTCCCATGTCTCGTGATACGGGGAATCTGTGATTATGCTGATTCGCATAAGAACGATCGATGGCAACGCTATGCTTCTGCTACAGCAGCGGCTTATGCAAAAGACCTCCTAGGCTATGTGCCAATTAGAGGGCTTCAGGAAACACCGCGAGCTCTGGATATTCTTAGGTCAGGTGGGTTCACCTAGAGTTACGAGCCAACATCTACTGACTACTACCAAGTCCGCCAGAATATCCAGGAGATATACACTATCGCCAGCGAGACAAAGTCGGGAATCAAAAGCCTTCAATCGGACAGCCACCACGCGAAGCTCAAGACGTGGCTCTCGCCCCCTGATGTATCCACCAACCTTACCGACGCACTCAAGTGTCGACAGCAAGGAACCTGCTCCTGGCTCCTCCAAAGCAAAAGATATCGGGAGTGGAGAAGTGGAAAGCGCCAACACCTCTGGCTACATGGGATTCCCGGCTGTGGGAAGACGGTTCTTAGCGCAGCCATAGTCGACGATCTAATGCAACAACTTCAGCCTCCGGATGTAGTCCTCTTCTTTTACTTTGATTTTAAAGAAATCGAGAAGCAGTCACCCAATAAGATGGTTCGCTCGTTGGTTGCACAGCTATACTCAAGCTGTGTCGACTCTCGCGCGGAGTTGGAGAAGCTCTTCTTATTCTGCGAGAAGGGCGATCGGCAACCAACAGAAACAGCCCTTCTCTCGACTTTCCTGGAAATGTCAAAACATGCAGGAAGACTTCAAATCGTACTAGATGCCTTGGATGAGTGCTCTATGCGAGGAGATCTACTCATGTGGCTAGAAACATTGTCTCTTTCCGACCACGAAGGACTTCATCTTCTCGCGACCAGTAGGAAAGAAGAAGAAATTGAATCCGGACTTGGCCACTGGCTCGAATGTACAAGCATTATCCTCATACAAAGTCACAGTATCAATCAAGATATCCGCACCTACTTACACGAGACACTGCAGAGTGATCGCGGATTTGACAGGTGGCATCGGCGACCAGAGGTATTGAACGAAATTGAGGCGGAGTTGATGCTAAAGGCCGATGGAATGTAAGATCACTTTCTGATGTGGGGCTCCTGGAAAGTATAATATCATTGACATGTTTCCCTGAAAACTTCAGGTTTAGATGGGTCGTGTGTCAGATTGACAGTCTAAAACACTGCCTAGATCTTCGAAAGCTTCGACAATCCTTGCGGACACTTCCTGCCACTTTGCAAGAGACTTATGCGCGAATTTTGATTAATATTCCGGAGAACTATCGCAAGGAAGCAATCCGGATCTTGCAGTTTCTCACTTACTCGAATCGGCCTCTCACAGTTGATGAAGTTGTCGATATAATAGTGGTCGAGCCGGACGAGGACCCCCTCTTTGATCCCACATTCAGGATGCCTGAGACTCGAGAGATCATGAGAATTTGTTCGAGTCTTGTCTCTCAGGTAACAAGACGAAGAGGCCAGAGTACAATTGAAGAGCTTCAACTGGCGCATTTTACCGTTCAGCAATATCTAGAATCTGAACGAGTTGATGGAGCTCTCTCACTGATGACCGTTGCTGTCGATTCTCCTTGTCGCCCAGGTGGACCAGGGTCTTTCCAAGGATGCATGCGACAAGCCACTGCAAAGGGTGTTATGACTAGAATCTGCCTTGCCTATCTATCCCAAGTGGACGAAGGAAAGTCGCTCACGGCAATAAAGGAAGAGCTCCCTTTAGCCATGTACGCAGCAGAATCTTGGATCGACCATGCAAGATATAGCGAGACAAGACCCGACGTGGAGAAAAGCATCCTGAAATTTCTTCTCCATCAGAGCCAGGCATACGCAGCATGGGGTAAGCTCTTCGATCTGGATCAGCCATGGAATGGACCGCTGTGGTGGGCAGATAAGAAGACGGCACCACCCTTGTACTACGCATCATTGGCCGGTCTTCAACACACAGTTCTTGGGCTGTTGGGCAATGGCGCTGAGGCCAATGCTGATGGCGGCGCTTACGGTAATGCACTCCAGGCAGCCTCATCAGTCGGTGAAACACACATAGTGCGGCTGCTACTGGACCATGGTGCTGATGTTAACGTACAGGGTGGACTTTATGGCAGTCCACTACAGGCCGCTTCAATCAAAGGTCACAAGGATGTAGTACTGCTGCTGCTGGCTCGAGGCGCTGAGATCTGTTCGCAAGGAGGTCTCTACAGCGACGCACTTTATGCCTCGGCAGCTGAAGGGCATGAGGAGATCGTGCGGCTTCTTATCGATCACGGTGCAAATGTCAATGCCCGAGGTCGCATTTATCTGAATATAGTCAGGGATGCCCCTTTCAATGATCACGAGGATCTTGTGCGGCAGCTACATGCTCAAGGTATAAAGACTTGCAGACCTCAAAGTAGCACAATTCAATCCTTTTCTGTTGAAGAACACGAGAATATGACTGAGGTATTGCTGGATGGCAAGAGAAAGGCCATGGTACAAAATAGCATCTACGGGAACGCACTTCATGCCGCTTCCATACAATGGCGCTTGGGGATGATTTCACTTGTTGATCGATTCAATGATCCGAGCACGCATTTAGACATTGCATTCAACAGTCAAGACGGGTCAACATCAGTGGCTATAGCGTCATTCTGCGGCCATGTCGGAGTGGTTCAGCTCCTTGTTGAGAAAGGCGCAGATATCAATATGGCAGTCAACGATGGCACGACTCCTCTGTTCCTGGCAACTCTGGGGAGTAATTTTGAGATTATCAAAATCTTAGTGAAGCAAAACGCGGAGGTCGGTGTTGGATCAAATATGGCCTTCTCGCCGATGCACTTAGCTGCAGGCTTTGGTCGTATTGATGTTATCAAGCTCTTTATTCAAAACGGTGCTGACCCCAATCAAAGAGCGCGTTGCGGCGCGACGCCACTACAGTTAGCGTCTGGAAGAGGTTATTTTGACTCTGCTAAACTGCTTATCGCAAATGGTGCAAATTGTGATTCTGCAGATAAAGATGGGAATACACCACTCCATAATGCAACACACAAAGGCTGTCTTGATATTGTCAAACTCCTGATTGAAAGCGGCGCAAATTGTGATTCTGCAGAGAAAGATGGAAATACACCACTTCATATTGCAATACAGAAAGGCTGTCTTGATATTGTCAGACTCCTGATTGAAAACGGCGCAAATTGCGATTCTGCAGATAAAGATGGGTATACACCACTTCATATTGCAATGTACAAAGGCTTTCTTGATGTTGTCAGAATCTTGATTGAAAACGGCGCGGAATGCAAGACTGCAAATTGTGGCGGCTGGGCACCACTGCATCCTGCATCTCTGAATGGTTACTTGGAAATTGTTAGACTTCTGATTGAAAATGGTGCTGACTGCAATATTGCAAGTAGTCAAGGGTGTACACCACTTGATTATGCATCTTGGAATGGTCACTTGGAGATTGTTGGGCTCCTGATTGAAAACGGTGCTGACTGCAATAGGGTGAACTCCGATGGGTGGACACCACTTCATTTTGCGTGTCAGGATGGTCACTTGGAGATCGTTAGACTCTTGATTGACAGTGGTGCAGCTTGTAGATCTATGGTCAACATTGCACCGCCGCCGCTTCACCTTGCCTCACAGAACAGTCACCTGGAAGTTGCCAGTTTTCTTCTTACACACGGAGCCCAAATCAATGCTAGGGATATTGACGGGTACACAGCTTTGCATGTCGCTTCTGCTCGGGGACTTATCAACATGGTTCGCCTATTTGTCGACAGAGGTGCCGATATAAATATCGCAAGCAGTAATGGATGTAGTCCATTATATATCGCATTCGAGTTTGGCCACACTCAAACTGCTGAGCTTTTGATTCAATCGGCAGCTGACATTGAACTCAAAGACAACAATGGTTGGACCCCATAGACCCTAACTTCATTCAAAGGCGATCTTGAGAGGTTCGGCTACTTCTTACGCAGGGAGCCTGCATAAATGTGAGAAGTGATCATGGGCGTACACCACTATTCGTTGCCTCCTCGAGTGGGCATATTGATGTAGTCCGCCTTCTTCTTGCACGAGGCGCAGACATCAATACTACCGGTTCGAACGGATGCAGTCCGTTATACATTGCATTTGAGTTTGGCTATACCCAAATTGGTCAGCTCTTACTCCAATTGTCAGCCGACTTTGAACTCAAAAACAACGACGGCTGGACACCATTGACCCTGGGTTCATTCAAGGGAAACATTGAGGGAGTTCAACTGCTTCTCGACCAGGGAGCAGAAATCAATGTAAGAAGTAACGACGGGCGTACGCCACTATATGTCGCCTCTTCTATGGGACATGTGGATGTGGTATTCTTACTCTTCGAAAGAGGCGCGGATGTTACGCTGGCGAATGATTGCGGTCACAATCCTGCTACAATAGCTTCATCAAAGGGTCAAGCCAGTGTGGTCCAGCTGCTTCGTCAATATGGTGCCGATGGTTGACGCTGCAGACGTTACGCTTAAGGCAGATGGCGGTTAGTTAGACGCTGGTGATATACAAGCGAGTCTAGATACTATTTGTCTTAGGAGAACATTGTGTCGTTGTCTCTGGGTGATCAATATCGTATCCTACAGAGCCAATGTCATTATTGTCAGACTTGCAGTTCATACAGCCCCCAATTCTATCTTGCAGAAGACTATCACGGAAAAGCTATGATGGTTTTGACGTTGATCCGAAGAGCCCTCATTCTCAGTATTCCCTGCCATCTTCTTGCATCATCAAGACATGAGCCTATTCTGAATTACTTCGCTGGCCGAATCTCGCTCTGCACTGGACATATTCGTTAAGAGCCAGATACCACGCACTGACTGTGTATCTCAGTCGATCCGAGCCCCAGTTTGCTGTTCATAAGGCAAACCCGAAGACTCTGGCCAGGCAGGTGACGGCCTCCTTACCGTTTGTTCTGGGGCAGGCGTACATCACAGAGAATACCACATAGGATGATACGCTGCCCCCCATCGCCGTGTAGGGCTAGTCTGCTGGTGTGGCTGTTGATGGTGGCTGCGGGGATAGACGCGCTGGGGGACTAGCAGCGCTTGTTTAAGGCTCAGCTGGGGTGTCTGGGTATTGAATGGTGCAAAGAGGGATGAATGGGTCACCTTCACGCTTCGGCTTTCACTATAAATCATGTGACTTGTAGTGAGGATGATCATGTGTTGCATGACAGTGTCCATTGTTCTAGCATAACGAAAGAAAATACGAGAATAAGGACTAATACCTAGGCTGCAATCATCCGTGTCGCCTGAAGCACAATATTAATCTGCTCCATCCCCAGACACGTCTTACCCTGCGCCGCAAGCAGCGCCGCCACCCTGACGGTGTTCTTGATCTGCCGTCCGTTGATCGTAACCAGCGCCAGACGCCGGACCTCCTCATCGGTCAACGCATGCTGGCACTTGGACCGAGTCAGACACCGTCGCCAAATCTGCTCCCTCGCAGCCCCATCCAGGTCGGGATAGTGTAGGGTGAGATGAATCCGACTCTGAAAGGCTCGATCGATCGCGTCCGCGCGGTTGGAGGTCATGATCATGATCCCGCGGTAGTATTCCAGCCAGCTAGACGACCATTAAACTCCGTCAGTATGTCCCCCGACCCGAGAACTGGAGGTCTAGTACAGGAAATGCAGAAGCAAAACTCACCGAAGAAAAACCGCCACCACCTCGTTATGCTGCATCTGGCTCCCCGACCGCTCCTGCAGAAACACATCACACTCATCGAACAGCAGCACCGTATCCCATCTCTCCGTGAGCTCCAGCACTGTGCTCAGCCGGCGCTCGACACCCTCCGCCTGCTGGCCCAACTCGCCCGCGCTCAGAGCATACAGCGGTTTGCGCACTTGATCAGCAATGGCCTCGGCGGTCAGGGTCTTCCCTGTCCCCGGGTTACCGACCAGGAGCATGATGATCCCTTGCCCTTTGCCCTCGATGACGTCGTCGAAGACGTCCCTGTGCGCCGCTTGGCCCTCGACGAAGGAGAGGACCAGATCTTTGTAGCTGGGTGGAAGCATCAACGTCGAGAACGCGGTGTCGTTCCACACGATGGGAGTGATGTCGGGGACGTTGAAGGTCGCCCAGACTTTGTGCTGGAGGGAGTAGCCGAGCACGCGGGGTTCACAGATGAGAAGGTCCGCCTCGGTCAGGTCCTTGTCTTGATCTTCCGAGCAAGTCAATGAAATCAGTGTACCCCGACCTATATCCGTGGTGAGGGTTGAAGGTGACTCACCAGCTTCCGGACCTGCAACATGACCCAGTCTTGCAGAGAAGCCCTTGGAACCGTCATAACACTCGGGTGTCATGAAGCACCCTTGTGGTGCAAGTGTTAGAAAGGCAGACGGATTGAGGGGTCTCTCTACATGCTTGTCATCGGCCACCGCAATCCTGGGCGCCGTCAACTCCGCATCCAGAGGCTCAAGGGGAACACTCTTGGTCGGATTGGCGTGCAGATACCCGTCCGCGTCGACGACGATACGCCCGTCCATCTAAACCAGACAACGAGGATCAGATTAGCTAGTCCCAAGCAAGCCACACTCCTTAGGACAAACACCAACAAACCTACGTATCTCTGAAACTGGCTACTCGCGTTCCCGTACTGAATCACCCCAGAGTAAGCCATATAGTGCCGCCCCGCGAGCTCACGAAACCGTCTCCCGCGCGCAATCGCTTTGCCCTCCGCCTCCTCCTGGGCTGGATGAAAGACCACCGGATACACAGGCAGCCCTCGAATCTCGCGCGTGCCGGAGAACCGATCCACGCGGAACTTCCGATGGCGGTACCCGAAGCGAGTGCCGTTCCAGTCGACCGAGCGCGCGGCTATCTGGAAGTAGGCCTGCTCTTTTGGGCCGTAGTAGTCCGGACTGTCCACTCGACAAAAGGTGTCTTCGTGCTCGTCGTCACGGGCCACGACATTCGTCCCGGGCTCGAAGAGCGCCCACAGCAGCGAGTAGGTAATGACGCGCTGGGCCAGGAGGCTGTGCATCTCGGCGCGGAGGTCCCCCAGCTCGCCGTCCAGTATCTCGTACAGCAACTGGGTGAAACCGGCGGCGAAGGGGTCGTCGTGCCGCTGGCGCTCGAGAATCGCGGTGAATGCGCCCCAGCGGTAGATGAAGGCGTGGAACGGGGCCCGGAAGACGAGTTTCGGCTGCTGCTGCTGCTGCTGCTGCATTGCGGCCGTGGTGATGCCCTGGTAGCCGGCGAAAACCTCGGTGAGCGTTTGCTTTAAGGCGCGGCTCTGGACGACAATCGAGTGCAGCGTGAGCGGTCGGACTACTGCGTCGTCATTGTGATTCTTGCTCATGCGCACGACGAGGGCCGTTTGGTTGATGATGTCTTCGGAGTCTGCTTCAGGTACGGGTCGGAGATGGGCGGGGGGTGTCGCGACCCAGTTCTTGCAGCAGATGCATCTGGGTTCGCCTTCGTAGAGGGTCTGGATGGCGCATTCGGTGTCTTCGATGTGTTGTTCCATGGGAGAAGAGGGAACTGGCCTGGGGGGCTCGTGAAGCATGTTGATGATATGGTGTTTTGGTCTTGAAAAGATGCGATAGATGCTGTTTGGGTGTACCTTCGATCGTTTTTGGAGGCTGAATGAATGTGGAGTTGTAATTCAGGAGCTGATTTTGGTTCCTTATACCGTGTCATCGTGCTAGGACTGGGCCAGTGAATATGTTACCATTTCCCTTCTTTAGTTAATGCTCTCCCGCCGCATCCTCCCGTGTCTTGTACACGGCTCTGAGACTCTCTTAACCTGCCCTGAAACATGCTGTCTCTTTTTTACATATCGTGTGCGACCAAGAGTGGTTTCCCGATTGCGCAGACTGTCGGGAAAGAGCTTACATTTACTGAAGCAAGCAAGTCTGGCATCTGACCCCTGCTGGGTTACGACGATCAGGTGATTGTGTACCACGGATTCAGCAGGCTGAGCGACAGTTGAATGCATGGAAATAGGTTAAGAGACTCAGGAGGACATGCAGCAAACCATGAACAACCTCTTGAGACAGGTCGATAACTGAACAAATCGTGTTGTACAACAACGCCAGGTCTATCCCTCAATGCGAACCCTGTCTTCGATTCTGATTCCTTTTCAGCCGGTATTCATTTTCTCCATCTTTGCCTACGGTGCAGCTAGTATGTATCTATCCCAACTGCCTCGGTGCTGTCTGACGGTTCTCCATCCCCGTTCGCAGCGGAATGGCGAATGCAGTCAAAAGTCTCTTGCGGAACAACAGCGCTCTCTTCCAGTCGATGTCGAAAATTGTCACTGTCTAGGATACCTGCTGCGTCTTCTCCCATCGTGGCCGTATACATCGAACTCATCACGCCGTCGACATAAGCAAAGAGAAGAGCCCAAGAGGCGCTCGGCTTCTGCTCGTCGTCAGACACACTAGTGGCAGAAACACTCGCTAAGAACCCCAACCCCCTTCCACAGGATGGCGGCCCGTGCTTATCAAGAGATCTTCAAAACAACAAGAGAGAGGCAGATTCATTCTCCAAATCTTGCTTCAGACAGGACGAATAAAGCTTCCTGCACTTAGAACGCATGGTTGTCTCCCGTCTCGCTGTCACTTGTAGCCAGCTCGTCATGCTGCTGCTCCCCTTGTTGACCGTGTCGCGAAGGAAAATATCTCGCGAGAGCCTTGACCCCAACATTCTTCGCTTCGATAGACATGGGATATAATCGATAACTAGATTCAATGCGACTCAATGTTCAATAAAGGCTTGCTACCCACGGCCAGGTGGACTTCTCGTTATCTTATATAGCCCGCATATCTCCCGGGTGCAAGATAGTTCTGACATGCGGGGACCACATGGCTCCGGGTGTGGGGGCCCTCTATGCGGTCACACCCGGGGGATCGGCGTTTATCTACTCACATCTCTTCTGTCACCTTGTCTGTGACGACAATTCATATAAGATAGGCTACGGCCGCTCAGTCGCCGAATGTCGCCAAGCGCAGTTCTCGGGAGCGAGACGAGACTGGCGTCGTCCCGACCTCCTCTTCCCTAATCATAATTTCAAGCAAGGACTTGTCCATCTATAGCCAGCATCATCATCATCATCGTCGTCGTCGCCATAGTATTGACCCCCACGATGGGACGCCTTCGAAACAAGAAAGGCCCGAAAGGGAGTAAGTCCAATATCATGTAGAATTTCCCTGGCATTGTTTCACTGCTGACCGGACGCAAGGTCCCCCAAACACGGCGCTTCCTCGAGATGGATTCGGGAAGTTTCTGGACGGCAGGCTGGAGGCTGAAGGGGGTCGTCACATATCGGGGGCCGAATTCAGTAAGTGGTCAGGAATAGAGACTGATTCTCAACAGAGGGTCAATCATCGTGAACCCTTGTTCTGGGTTCATGCTCATGCATTTCAGACGAGCTATACATGCAATGCGCGGCGACGTGGGCTAGTGCGTCCCCACGTCTGAGGAGCCACTATGAGAGGCAGGCTGGTGCTGAGAATCGGCTTCAAGAGAGGGAGGGAACAGACTCGGGATATTTCTCGGGTGAGGAGGTGTAAATGGGATCAGTTGGTGGTGATGGCTGTGATGGCTGTGACCGTTGCCTGCCTACGTAGGGCGGCAGTGCGGTGAGTCCAGGGTGGTCATTGAGTTAGCTGGCAGTCGATGTGGTTATTTGTCAACTTTCATTGTGAGTGCATATATATGGAAAGCATGTTGTATCTAGACATAACTGATGTGACATTTGTTGAGCATAACAGACACCGTCGTGGCCTGCTGGTCTCCAATTCGAGATGACACTAGAGTATGGTGAGAATCAGCAGGGTCAAGTGTGAGCTTGATCAGATCAGAGAATACGGTATCTCCACTGTCTGTTCACATGTAGAGACACGGTCGAGGCAGTGCTGGAGGACAAGTCGGGACTGCTGTGGAAGGCAGATAGAGGGAAAAGTCAGGGTATGCCCTAAGCGTGTGCCTGAAGGGGGGAAGGAGACAGCTTGTAAGCCCCTTGAAGAGAGTGAGTGTGCTGGTCTAGATGCATGGGGGTAATCCTGGGATTACTGCCGACAAATGGGAGGGGGGACCATGCGCCACATCGTATGACAAGATCCGACAAGGTTGAAGGTGGTTTCAGTCTGTTATCGCCGAGTAATACCTTCGAAACAACCCATTCCGGACAGTCTTCTAACTGCAGGCAAACTGACAGCTGTTAAGCTAAGTCGATCACAGCCAATTTATCTCCATCCCCACCGATCGACCTCCCTAGATCAATAAAATAGCAGATGATTACCGTAGATGCACGTCATGCCTCCATTGATGATCTGGCAACTAGAATGTAGGTGAGAGCGGCCCGCGTGGAGAGCACTGTAGTCAATGTGATGTATCACGAACTCTGTTACGCCCAATGTCCGAGCGCATCGTATGTTGTGGGGCCCGGGCGGAGGGATCTGGATCTGTCTTATCGGGCGAATCCCGAAGAAGGGATGTATCAGATTCTACCCCTCAAAATTGCATCGTGCTGCATGTGATATGTATCGTTGCTTTGTTGTGGCGAGGGAGCAAACAACAAAAGGGGGGGGTATGAGGGTGTGCTAAATCCTCGATGGGATTGAAAGTCCAAAATATGGGCATGCTGTACGATGAGTTACCGAGGATCTCTGACCGTACAGTGGAAAACGAACGGAGTCTAGTTTATATGCATCTAGATGGTAGAATATACATCATTCACAAAGGAAATAAGAGACGGCAGCTGTGGTCCAAACCCACATCACCGCGGCAGATCAAACGAAGGCGACGACCGCAGATACACCGGACTGACCTCGACGTTGGTCTCGATCTCCGTCTGGGCCATGATCTTGCCCGCCGGGATGACGATTCGGTCCTCGCTGCCGTTTCGCTCGATCTGGGTGCCGGCGATGGTCTCCGTCTCGCCGCAGTGGCTTTGCAGCACACTCATTCCGAACTCCGGCGGCCGTGGCTTCGAGAAGCCCGATCCGTACCGCTTGGCGGCGTTGTTGTTGCTGCTTGACCAGCCGCCGTAGCCCTTGTTCGAAGAATATTCCCCGATCCAGCGCGGCAGGAAGCGCGAGGCAATCGCCTTGAAGGAGGGGATGGAGGCCGCGAGGATGCCGACGTTGATCTCGATGGCGGACCAGTACATCGCGCCGCTAATGGCGTAGGTGGAGTCGGCGGAGGAGAGCATGGTGGGGATGTAGGTGATGCGGATGATGGAGGAGACGCAGGCGCTGTAGATGGGAAAGTTAGCGGATTGCGTCTTGCTGGTGATGGATCTCTGTGGTAACGTACAAAAGACCCAGGCAGAGAATGCATCCCAGGGCTAGTTTTTGTTTGTAGGGCATGTGAAGGTGGAGGATCACCCGGATGGGAAGGGTGTAGGTCAACAGGTCGGTGAGGATATTGAGGGCCGCGTTGCAGAGGTAGAAGACGTTGATGGTCACGCAGTGGCCGGGGAGAGCGCTATTCCACGCCTTGGGAATCGGATTGCATTGGAAAGCTGCTGTCAAGACGAAAGCCGTCGCTTGACATCCCACCACGCACATCATCCCCAGCGATAGTCGGGTCAAGGTTTTATCGCCTAGTCGAGTGTAGAAATAGCAGACCGAGGTCTTGATGAAGCCGAGACAGGCGAGGTAGAACATCGAACTGAGCCAAACAACCTATGAAGTAATTGCATTATTAGTTGGGATGTCGAGGGCTGAGGGTAAAGAAAGCGTACAAAGGCGTAGGTGATGAGACCGTCCGGGTCGACATCATCCATATGTTTGCCCATCCCATGTTTAACGGCTGGTAATAATTAGTATCACCAAACCCCAAACCCGAAGTACAGTCCAGTACATACCAACGATTGTCACAGCCGTGAAGGCCCATGAAAGAAGCTAAAGCCGTCAGCAACACTCACATCAATCATTGCCGGCCATCTTACACAAGCAACCACAATCAAGTCTGAGAAGGTATCAGTCAGCCAATATTCTCCGATCCCCTCTCAGGTAAAGACTCACAGTCATCCAGGCCCATGCTCTTCAACACATAAAGCCGGGCAAACAACCGCAAAGAAAGAACGATGAATGTCAGCACGGCAAAGGCGATGGCCACGCCCGCCACGACGGGGCCCTGCGTCTTGGCCATGTCCGGAAAGCAGTATCAAAGCAGCGAGCGAAAAGGAAAGAAAGAATCCTCCGATCCAAAATTGGCTCTGGCCGAGTGACGTGCCTTTCTTTATGTAGCTGGAAGCGACATTCGGGGCGCGCACCGACCTGAAATTGACGATTAGGTTCGGTTTGTTGATCTTGCAGGTTACGAGTCGCTTTGCTGGGATAACCCTAGCTCGCCCTTTTCTTCTTTCCCCTAATCCTCACATTGGGACGAATTGCACACACCCTTGGCATACCGGTACAGCTCGAGTCGATTGATGACCAGTGGCGTTTCCCCAAACAGGGAATCAGGAGCGAAGAAAATCCCTTTCGGGGCTTTCCCCAAACTTTGGGTTGACGGTTCTGGAAAGGAGGTGGAAAGACTGCCGATTGGGAGGGTCCCTGAGTACGAGCGCATTCGCTCGATAGGGACTAGCAGGCTACAGCTTTGGTCCGCGTATGTGTCGACCAAAGGTGAGGATTGCATCTGACACAGCGCCTGCGTCCAGCGGATCATGGATAGCTCGCAGAAGGGCTTCTTTGACATAATTTGGGCCAATGCGTGACAAGAATAGCAGTTCTGGCCGGATCGGCGGCGGCGCGGGTCATCGTTCCGGACGGGGGAGAAATGAAGCCCGCCGATCGCGATGCCACTGTGGACTGCTGTGGCATTGACAGTTGACCGAGACCCCTTGCGGGCCAGGCGTTCTATTCGTTCTATTCTGCTGGAGGGTGCTGTGCCTCTCTGGAGATGTTACAGCTGTTTCTTTTTGTACAGGCACAATGCCATTATCCTTCGCAAGCAAACCATTCACCCTTCCATGCCAGGCAATCTAGTCCGTAGTCTCCTTGAGTATTGGAAAAAAAAGTCATAAGGCAGCAGATTTTGGTAGGAACTATATTCCGACGCCGGTGATTGTCTTAAACGACCGGCGTCTGACTTGAAAGGGGACAATCCGACGCATTCTCTGCAACTGGCTTAGGGCATGGCAGCCACCAACAGCAGATTGGCGGGGGAACCGGCGGTGGCGCTCTGGCATCGCGATTATCCAGACCCACCCACGCAAGGAAGGCTCGAAATGGAGACTGCGAGTCAATGATGGTGGGAGGACTCAAGACTTTACCAAGCGGCCAGGATTCAGCCCTGGTCGATTCTTGCGCGTAGTCGTCAACTCATGCCTGTCCTTTCGGGACAACATCGGCTCAGAAGGCTCTCCGATTTGTGATCATCTCACATAACTAGTATATTAAGGGGGTGATTGAGTGCTGACACGATTTCACGTGTGAGGCTGTAGAGAAGGAAGACACGAGTTGTTTTTCTCCAACAACTTTTCCTGGTAAGTTATGGAGCAGTTCGTGAGAAATCATAAATGCCCCCGAAGACGGCAGAACGGCAGAGGCTGGCTGGTGCGGGAATCGCCATCTGCCACCCCTCTTTCGGGTGGATTCGACCGACCCATTGGCATTATCGTCCCCATTTCTCCAACTTCTGTCAGGCTTTGAGTTTTGAAGCCTTAAGCCTTGAAATCTGGAGGGTGAGAGGCCGTTTTCTGGGTGGGGATAGCAGATTGGTAACAACTAACCCCCTCGAATATCATCCGTGGCAATCGGCCAACCGGACGCTCTTTCCTCCTTGCGAGGCAACCGACACAGACACTATTCGCGAGGCAAGCTGTCAAAAGTACGCAAAGCGCCAATCTGGCACTCACTGGAGTCACTCAATCAGTGGTTCAGTGCAAATGACGAGCGAAGGAATGCCGATCGGATGACGGCGCGCGCATTAGCGGCGTTTAGTGTCTTTTAGCGGGCTTTGGTGGCCGCGAAGCGACTTTTGCGCGGTGGATCCCAATTTGAAGCGATCGATGCGATAGGTCACCTCCCACACGGAGGGGCATCACTTATAACCCTATTGTCTCGCTCGAATAATTAAAGGGGAAAAGACCGTCCTCCTTCGCGGGTCGGTTATGGAGCCGGTTATGACTTTCCAACCAGCATGCCATGTTTTCCACCCACTCCAACTCGACAGGGAAGATGCCTGTTCTTCGAGCCAACTTTGTTGCTTTTGACAGCTGTCAAGTGGTTCTTGGACAATACCAACAAACACAAACCGTTGACCGTTAGATTTACATATAAGGTGCTGAATAAGATGTGAAGTCGTTCTCTGCCCTGGATCGTTGTGATGTAGCAGGCATGGATGGGGGCACGGGGCGCCGTTGAACCCTAAGCTTCGTATATGAGCTGCGGTGCGCCTGGCAGCCTGTCAGCCTGTCAGGGCCCATTGACACCCACCATCTCGAGCTGTTCAACCCCTCCTCCTCCCACTCCCCGCACCAACGGTGCTCCAGCCCGGATGGCCTGCCCATTTGATTCTAGGTCCTCCCCGAAACAGGCTTGACAATTTCGGGGCTCGGCTGAGGGGAGGGACGCTTGGAGGCCTTTGTCGGTGGTCGGCACGGGGGCCGGACTGCACGTCCACTGCGCCAGCTCGTGCCAATGAGATGCAAATTGTTTATGCACGACGACAATGATTTGCCCTCTTACCCACACCGGATCATCTCTAGTTGAGGCCCCTTACTGGACGACCGATCAGCAGGAGGGACAAAGGATAGTTCTTGGTCGATGTGAGGTCAGGCAACGGTCGCATTCTTAAGAGCCTGCCTCTCCAGCACCTGCGACTCGCATGCCTCATTCAACCGACAGCCATGGGTCTGGAGAACGTTTTGTCGCAGCTTACCCTGGCCCGGGTGGCCGGGGGTCTGCTTGCCTATGTCGTGCTACAGTTCGTCTACCAGATCATCTACTACCGCTTCTTCCATCCGCTCGCCAAGTTCCCCGGGCCTTTCTGGGGCAGCGTCACTCGCCTTTGGATCGCATGGCACAACCTGCGTGAAACGGAGCTGCAGACCTGCTCTGAGTTGACGAAGAAATATGGTACCAATTCGACCCCGTCGATCGAGAGAGATGTTACCCAAGGCAGCACATCTGACGCTGACATCCGTCCCCCTCAGGCCCCGTTGTCCGCATCACCCCGACACTGCTGCTGGTCAGCGACCCGACAAAGCTGCCGGACATCTACCACCGCCAGGCCGACAAGACCGGCCACTACATCACGGGCTCCTTCGGGGAGACCGAGTCGCTGTTCAACATGCGCTCGCACAAGACGCACTCCTCGTTCCGCAAGCACATTGCCGGCCCGGTACGCTTCCCTGCCGCTTTCCCGCGCGGAATCCCGACTGACGCCCGCTGCAGTACAGCTTCAGCAACGTGAAAAAGATGGAGCCGTTGATCGACCTCCGCTTGCAAGAGTGGCTGGACAAGCTGGACGAGAAGTTCGCCAGCACGGGGACAGTCTTTGACTTTGCCTGGTGGGCCGTGTACGTTGCCCTCAACCCTGCCTTATACCGTTCCCTCTTCCACCTAAACACACTCCCAACCTGTCTAGCCTCTCACTAACTCGAAATGAACAGCTACATGGCCTACGACATCATCAGCGAAGTCGGTTTCGGCGCCCCCTTCGGTTTCGTCTCCCAAGCCCACGACGTCGGCGGCCTAATCCAAGGCTTCCACGACGGGCTGCCGGCCTTCGGTCTCCTCGCGCGCCTGCACCCCTTCACCAGCTGGGTGAAAACAACCTTCCTGAAAAAGTACCTCGTGGCGACCCCCTCCGACCCGTCGGGCGTGGGCGTGCTCATGCGCTTCCGCGACACACTCATCGACCAGCGCCTGCGCGATTTGTCGGAGAAAAAGGACATCGGACGGGTCGACCTCCTCCAGACCTTCCTCGAAGCGCGCACGGAGGACAACCAACCGCTGGACATGGAGTACATCAAAGCGGAAGTGCTGCTCGTGCTGCTGGCGGGGGCCGACACGACGGGCACCGTCTTCCAGGCGCTGGTGCACAACCTCCTCACCCACAAGGCCGTGTACGCGCGCATGATGGCCGAGATCGACGCCGCGGTCGTCCGGGGCGTTTTTGCGGACGGCCAAACCCCGCAATACGCCGATATCCTCGAGCACCTCCCCTTCTACGTGGCCTGTGTCCGCGAGACGATCCGGTTGAATCCCCCGGCGCCGAATATCTTCCCGCGCTACGTGGCGGAGCCCGGGATCGAGCTGTACGGGAAGTTTGTGCCGGCCGGGACGGAGATCTCGGGGAATCCGTGGATCATGCACCGCGATCAGAAGGTGTTTGGGGAGGATGCGGAGGTGTTTAGGCCGGAGCGGTGGTTGGATGCGGAGAAGGCGAAGGTGTTGAGTAAGTATATCTTTACCTTTGGGTATGGGGCCCGGGTGTGTTTGGGACGGGATATCGCGATGATGGAGTTGTTTAAGGGGCCTTTGCAGGTATGTTTCCTTCCTTTCTTGGCTTGAGTTGGTGAGAGTTGGGGTGGTTTGACTGACTGTTGGCTGTTGGGTCTAGTTCTTCCGGTGTTATACCCCCCATGTCGTCAAGGACAAGCCGTCGGCCAAGTTTGTGATCCAGGGTGGAGTGGGCCACTGGGAGGATATGTGGTTGACAATTGAGAGGCGGGAGAAGGCGTGAAGTGCTTAGGGGGGATGGCGCACTGTATTAGATCTGTAGAGTGAGGACGTTTGGGACAATATCATGAGGTGTATGAACTACAGCCTGCACTAGCACTTTTCATTGCTTCATTTTGGAAGAGTAAAACCTGAAACTTCGAGACTCGCTGATCGGGCGACCACCTGCAAGTATAATAGCACTCGCATCACTTTTACTGGACTTGGCTGTCTTAAGCATCACCGCTTGAAAAGAATTTTGGACATGAGAACCACAACTAGTTCTTGGAAGGTGAGATCTGGGATCCCTGCCGGGTAACCTATGTTGTGTTCCTGGTGAAGGGAGCAGTCATCCAGCAGCCAACTTCGGGGGTCTTTCTTCGAGTAGTACGTGCTGAATCTACTGGATCAGTATCTTCTGTTAGATTCATATCTCCAAATTTGCAAGTGATGTTCCCGTTCTGTCAGAACTACTATCACAGATCCCGGTCACGTGACGTAGCCAGGGCGAGTGATGCACTTCAAGTCCCCATAAATCTGCCCCATCATTGCATTCAGTATCCAGAATCTCCGCTATTTGACTCTTAGGAAGCGCTTCTTATGCTCTATGATCTGGAAGATAGGAGTTTCAGATGCTGTTGTTTGCGCTTGGATTATGCAAGATATATTTAACCGCGCCGCGGAAGGCGATCACTACCCCACGCAGGAGCAGCATCGTGAGTGACAAGACATCATGCTGGCCGCATCGCAGTGTTATAAGGCATGGATCGAGTCCAATACTCGATATGAAAGGGACTGATGTTAGCATATGTCCAAGAGTCGCATGCAATACAAAAGATACTACTTAGCAGTTTCAGGCATCATGCGGCCGAAATTCAGTCACAGGAAGTGATCAAGGAATATGTCGACTAGATATTATGAAATTGTGTTTGCGGGATCTAGATAAGACCAGCATACTCTACCAGGTGTGAATTCACACCCGAACCTGAAGATATTCTACACCACCACTATCTCGGAACGTGACGGGAAAATTCAAAACCCATGAATATGACCATCATCATATAGACATAACCTCCGTAACCATTTCTCGAAATCGACCCTCCTCAGCCCACACAATCCTCATTCTCGGAGCGAATCACACCCCGCCACCCCTGGTATACAACCCAGAGAAGCACCTCAAAACAACAACCCCATCGCCCCAACCCTCTCAAATGCGCGATGCCACGACTCCTCCACCCTCAACTCCTCCACGAACCCAATCCCCCTCGCCCGCGTCAGATCAAACTCGCGATCGAAATCCATCAACCTCAGACTCCCCATCCGCGCCCCGGTATTATGCATACTCCGATCAATCACCTCCTCCTTGAGCCCCTTCTCGCGACACAGCGCCTGCACCGTACCCCAATGCTTCTCCATGAACTGCGTCGGGTGCAGCGCCGCGGGGTCGGGCCCCACCCCTTCCAGCCCAAAGTACCGCGCCAGCGCCGGCCAGCGCTCCGACCAGGCGACGGGCCGCGCGCTGTCGGCGATGTTGAACGCCTTGCCGTGGACGCTGTCGCGGGGCTGCAGGGAGGCGTGCAGGCAGAAGCGCGCGATGATGTCTTGGTTGGAGTCGGTGGAGGTCAGCGACCAGGTGGTGTCGTTGCCGGGGAAGGGGATCTTGGCCGCGCCGCCGTGGATGTGTCGGTAAAGGCTCAGGTAGATCCCCATGGTTTGAGCCATGCAGTTTGCGTTGCCGAAGGGGGCGACTCCTACCTATTTTTTCCCGGAGTGTTAGTTCGTGGGATTTGGGGAGGGGGGAAGTTGTGGGGGATGCGAGGGAGAGAGGGGTGTGGAGGGTGCACGGAGGCTGACAAGGCACACGTACAATCACGTCCGGGCGCACTTCACACCACGACCATTGTTTGCCCGCGCTGAGCTCCTGCAGGAGATCGACTTCGTGGTAGTAGAACAGGTCCTTGGCGTATTCGGCCGGCACGCGGGGCAGGTCCTCGCTCAGCGGGGTCTGTCCGCGGAAGGGGAATTTGTCCAGGAGGTAGACGCCGTATGCCTGCGCGGATTAGACACGATGATGCTGAGGGTTGAGAGCGGTGGTGTGCTGTACCTTTGTACCGGTGATCAGCGTCACGAACGACAGCTTAGGAGAGAGCGTCTCCAACGTCTGCACGGCCGCGCGCAGCATCTCCTTGTTCAGGCGGCATTCTTCGGCGGCGTTGTCGCTGGCGCGGTAGGCTGGCGATGGACAGAGTCTATGTCAGTGGATGATGCGATATTCCGATCAACAGTTGACAGCACCGCCGGGGTAGCTGAGGATATACACACCCGCATAATACACATGGCTGATCGTCTCAACCGCAGGGATCTTCTCGCGCAACGTGGCGGCCAGCGCCTGATCGTCGCCGGCTAGCAGGTCCACGCCCGAGACAATCTGCAATCGATCATCGGAGGGCCATTGGGCCTCTGCCGGACTGAACGCACGGTTCGCAACGGCGGTCACCCTGCTGAACGTCCCGGGCGCTGGGTAGTCGGAGAGCAGCTGGTTGACCAGCGCCCAGCCGTTGATGCCAGAGCACCCGAAGACGACCGCGTGGTGGCCCTGATTGGTGTCTTGGTGCTGTTCCTGCATGATGATGGGCTCCGTGTGTTTAGTGTGGTTGAGTGAGAGGAAGCTTTTGGGGAGAGGAAGTCTAGTCGCCTCTGCGACGGGAACTGCTGTGGTCCTTACATTATGGAGTCGGCTCATGCATGCCACGCATGGCATTCAGGGGTCTGCCACGCTGGTTATTCCATCACTATGCAAGGAACGATGGACATAAGTCTGCAGGATATTCGAACATTTCGCCGGCTAATTCCGACCCATTCTCCTTCCGCTGCTCGTCCGAGTCAGATAACGAATGCTAGATGGATGCAAGTTGCCGTGCTTCACTGAGACTATCGACTTTCGACGCAGTAGTTTAGCCTGCGAACGAGAAAGTCTCCCACCTTACGGAGTAGTGACCACACAAAACCACCACCGCTCGGCCATCCGCCACCGTCCACCGTCCACCGTCCACCGTCCACTGGCCACTGGCGTCAGGCAATTTGCAGTGGAGCCCAGCGGACGGGCGGCCATTACCGCGGATGAGTCCAGAAATCCCCCGAAAAGAACGACCTGGCTGCGTTGGGTGGATAACGCGATCGGTCGAAAGTTCGGGTCCGATGTGGTAGTGCCACTGTGGACATACTCAAAAATTTTCTAATTCTTTTCCGTCTTTCGTCTAACCCGCCGAAGAGTGGTCGTCGAAGTTGCGTTGTTGACTTTGGGCGTTTAGGGTTCCGGGTGTCATTCCTCCTTTAATGGCGCAAGATAAGATCTCTCGGCTGGGTTCTTCACACAATTCCGACAGTTGGGATAGCCGGTACAAATAAATGAGTCTTTTTCTTAGTCTATAGGCAATAAGCATCTTATTGTCTTTCTAGACAGGGGTGTGTAGGCTGTTATAGTGATAGCGCGGCGTATCTGAGGATAATACCCTGGCCAGTCGGACTAGAGAAAAACACCGAACGACAGCCGACAGATTGCAATGGTGTGTGTGTCACCAGTCACGAATGTAACCCTGGCCAAGCCAGCCCAGGACAATAACGTGCTGGGTGTCTGAAACATACAGCAGAGAAATTACAGTATGGATCGCAGCAGAACCAATTATTTTGGCGTGTGCCGGTAAATCACCAACGCGGAGGGTATCCGAGGTAAGAAGTGCTTCATCCGCAAAACAAAAGGGCTGGAGGGACAGACTCCCAACTTGCATCAAACCATCGATGGTCCCCTCCTGCAATTATGGAGCGGGTGAAAAAGAATCTGATGGGTTGGTGGGATGGAGCGAGTGGAGCCGCCGCCCTTGGGCTAATTTCCACCCGGCGGGCCGTCGACCCTATCCATGGCCACACATTTTATAGTCGCCGACATTATTTCCTCCGCCTGGAACTAGCGCTGCGCTGCAGTCTTAGTGTCGGATGGATTTTTTTTTTCTGGTCATTGATGAAGCAGACGACAAGAAAACCCAAGAATGCAAGAATATGCAGTACGGTTGGAACGCCCAATCATGTCGGACATCCTCATGCGAGGTTATCAACACGCAGAGAGGTCGACCGGACAGTGTGCTGGCCACCCCCGGCCGTCCAACGATGGCTTGCGCGTCCAAGTAAGTCACCCGGCCACATCAGGGGCTTGGTCGGCAGGATCAAATATCTTAGCTCATATTTTCATCCTTTCCACCTATTAGAGACTGAATATGAACAAAAGACGGGCCATTCCTTCTTGTCCCAAATACAGCCGTCTCTTGGCATAAGCTTAGATTAGCTTACCCATCCACCCACTCTACTCAACCCTACGATGCACCAAACCCAACAACCAAGGAAGCTAATTAGATTGGAGCATGGAGACAATCAGAACGGGTAAAGAGCCCGGACGGCCTTCAACCCCCTTCCGATGCTACTCGTATGTTTCCGATCCAGAACCGAGTTGGGTAAAGGATCTGCCGTTCTTCCGTGGCATAGCAGCAAGACAGGCGTGGCATTATGGTCGTAAGAGAAAGATCTCATAGAGACACGGTGGGAACAAAGGAAAATTATGTTTTAGTGTATATGGGTAAGTAGGGGAGTGAGGCTCAATCACTCTGGTTGACGCTGACATGCGTCGTGATCTGGATGCCCGCGTGCACCGGGAAGATGCGCTCTTCCGACCCATTCAAGCTGGCCTCGATGTCTGCCCGACTCTGGCCCGTCACTGTATCCAGCTTGATGCTCTGATGCGCCAGCGACCGTCCATGCGTGGTGCGGCGGCCCGAGGTGCCGTACATGCGCGATCGACCCGTCGAGTCGCCCTTGCTGGAGAGACCGAGCAGACGCTGCAGGGCGGGGAATCGGAAGGAGATGAGACTCTTGAAACTAGGAATGCACGCGATGAAGATGGCCACCGCCACCTCCACACTGGACCAGTTGAGTGGGTTCACCAGCGTCCCTACCCTCGTACATTAGATGCGTGTCAATCAAAAGTGGATGGCCCAGGGAGAGGGGCACACTTACACGTGTGGTCCAGCGAGAAATTACTGATATAAGTCGCCCGGATGATACTCGTCACGGAGACCCTGCAGCTTTGATTAGCAGGCTTGGAGAGCGCGGCGGGGAACAGGGGCCTCGTACAGAACTCCCAGGCCAAACATGAACACCAACCCCGCGCGTTTACCGCGGGTCATATTCAGCCGCACCAGTTTGGGAATTGGGAGGGCGAAAATAGCCAGGTCGGTCGCCAGACGGATTCCAAACGAGATGTAGTAGAATGCCGTCAGAGAGAGACATTCCCCCTTGACCACGCCCTGCGAATCCCAGGCTTTATGGATGGGCGTGCATTGGAACACCACCACCAGACACTCCTCGGTTGTTTCGGCCACGAGCAGGGCTGTCAGGCACCAGCAGATAATGCGGAAGGTTTTTCCCGGAAAAATCTGGAGGTACAAGATACAGAAGGAGCATTTGACGGTGCCCAGGGCGATGAGGTAGGCGATCATGGTGGCGAAGTCCAGCTAGAGTTCGATGATCATGTTAGTGCATGCTATGCATGTATCAGGGATCAGTATCTGCAGACCTTGAGGAACATCTCCAGGGTTGCAGTGTCGTGGATTGTCTCGATGTGTTTTCCAAAGCCATAGTTGGTCACTACATTCCAAGTATCAGTACCCTCTTCTAGATGGTGTGGAGGCAGAATAGAGAATAACGCACTCAATATACACAGAATGCATAGCGCAAGTGTAAACACCTAGATAACGAACCGCTGGATTAGTCTAGAGCACCGATCCCTCGTATCATAGCCGGGAGACCTACCCAGCTCACTATACACAGATAGTCATCTGCCCCCAGTCCGGAAAGATATTGGGTCCGCACGAATACACGCACCAGCACCCCAATGCTCGCAATCACGATGAGCACCGTGTTGCAGACGATGATCGACGGAACTGCTGAGGCATTGAGGTTGACCGATGAATCGGACGAAGACTGCTCCCTGAAGATCAAATCGTCCATGACAACCGGCCGTGCTGGGCAAGAAACGAGCAGAAGCAGACGCGAAAAGGTCGAAACTAAGGGCCTACATGAAGCATGTAGTAGTAGTAGTAGCAACAAGGCAGTGAAGACGTCCTTCTTGGCCTTTCTATCTTAATTATTATGCCCAGGGGTGGACGGAATTACAAGGAGGGTCTTTTGCCACTACCCTTATTCTCCGGGACTATACCGCAATCTCGGCGAAGGCAGCCCTTCCTTCGGCCCAGTCACGATGACAAAAGAATTCATTCAATGGTGTGGGAAAACCTCGAGTCGGTACTTGCCTACTAGTCAGTTCCTCGCCTCCGTCGGTTCTGCAAACGAGCAAGCCACACGTGGAATCTCTGTAAATTGCCGTTCCGAGCTGCAGAACAGTTGATAAATTTCATTTCCTGTGTCTTTTTCTTGCTGAATTGCTTATTTGCTCATTTCCCCTCCATGGCATGCAACAAATCCAAAACAGAGCACTCTAGATCGATCGTGGGGCGACTGGATTGGCTGATGTTGGGTTAAGTCATTCGCCGACTCCGGCTCCACCTGAACTACTGCGGGCCCTTCCCAATATCGCGCAAGGACCGTCGCCGACTTGTTGTCAAGATGAACGAACCCTAAGCGGCCGTCTGCTTCCCCTCTCTTGTCATGACTATTGCCCCCTCTCTTATCCTGATTCCCCACCCACACACCACCCAGGTGCGTATCTTCTACTCACAGGCCAGACTAGGCATTGCATGTTGACTCTTGGTATGCCGTACAAGGCTCGTTGGCCGTGCCTACCAGTTTCGCGTGCCAGTAGTCTCTCATAGTCCCAGTCGTAGTGGTAATCTAGACTACGGAGATGAGATGGTTCGACACTCCAGTCCGGTTTGATGACTTTCTAGCGCCTTTTCGCCTCGTGGCCGTCGCCTCTGCCCTGCATATGGCCATGCTGGGTCTACTTTAATTATCTGCATTTCCTGCAGCTCAGGAACCTCTCTTCCGTTTTACCCACTTCACACCTCTGTGTCTGCGACTTCTCCTCTGTTAAAGGATCCCGGCCTTTGACCTTGAGGTGCACCATGGCGGACGAGAAGACTCCCCAGCCCGTCGAGGGCTCCATCCAGTCCAAGAGTGTCGACCTGGACCAGCTGCCGACGGGATACTACCGCAGCCCCAACTTCATCGGCTCGGTGGTTGCCGTTTGTTTGATGGCCATCAGTCTGTACCTGGGATATGTCTTGCCAGTGCGTTTCTCTGCGTACTTGGTTCAATTCTGGCTTGCTGACTCGCAGATAGGTCAACAGCTTGACTGCGATCAACCAAGATCTCGGTAAGTCCCCATCGCCCCCTGAACGGGGCCGATCTGAGTGGCATCCGCTGATCGTCTCTCCTTGCGCGCACAGGGCCGGACCCCAACTATAGCATGATCTCAACGGTCTTTACGTTAATCTCCGGAGTACGTCGATCCTCTTTCTGCCTGGGTGCCATCCTTAGTACTCATGGTCGTGTGTTTAGGTCGGATTGCTGCTGGTCGGCCGTCTGGGCGATATCTTCGGTCGTCGGTACATCCTGATCGGCGGCCAGCTGCTGGGACTTGTTGGGGCGATTGTCTGCGCGACCGCAAAGAATGTCCCGACCGTGATCGGCGGAAGTGTACTGTGCGGTCTGGCTGCTGCAGTGCAGTTGACCTTCACCTTTGTGATTGCTGAGCTGGTCCCCAACCGGGCTCGTCCTGCGGTCAACGCCAGCATCTTCATCACCACCCTCCCCTTTTCCGCCTTCGGATCCATCATTGCCAGCGATTTCGTCGCTCACACCGCCGCCTCGTGGCGCTGGACGTATTACCTGAACATGATCACCTGTGGCTTGTCGATCATCCTGCTGGTGCTCTTCTACTTCCCCCCTGGTTGGGATCAGAAGCGCGGCGGGCAGAGCCGCCTTGACGGTCTGAAGAAGTTCGACTGGATCGGGTTCGTGCTCTACGCCGCCGGTGTTGTTCTGGTGCTGTTGGGACTCTGTATGTGCTGTCTGGTCCATTGTCTTTGACCCAGCTGACGAGTAGATAGCCTGGGGTGGTACCTCGTATGCGTGGTCCTCTGCCCACGTCGTTGCCGTGCTGGTCGTCGGCTTCGTGTCGATCATCGTCTTTGTTCTCTACGGTATGTCCTTTGCATGTGCAGCCACCAAGCACGCACGCAGGTACTGACACGACCGCAGAAATCTACGCACCCCTGGAGCAGCCCCTGCTCCCCATGTCGCTGCTGCGCAACCCCGGCTACGCGGCGACGGTGTGTTCTGCCCTGGTCGGCAACATGGTCTACTTCTCCATGAGGTAAGCGCGCGAGCATCAGGTCCGTCAATGCCGTCGTGCCTTCAGCCCTAACCGAAGCGACAGTCTTCTGTGGCCCGAGGCCGTCCTCTACCTCTTCACCACCAACACCATTAAAGCCGGCTGGCTTTCCGTAAGTTCGGTGTTTTTGTACCTTAGCTAGTGCAATCGCTAACGAGCGCTGCAGATCACCACCGGAGTCGGCGTCATCGTCGGTGAAATCGCCGCCGGGATTCTCATGAAGCCCCTCGGCTTCACCAAGTACCAGCTCATCGCGTCCACCGTGATCATCACTGCGTTCTCCGGTGCCCTGGCGGCAATCAACCAGCACCACCAGGCCTACGGTATTGCTGTACGTATCCCATTCGTCTCCATACCTTTTCCCCTCATCTCAGACTCCCACCTCCACCACACAATGCAGCCCCGCTAACGCAACCACCAGTTCACCGCAATCGGCGGCTTCGCAGTCGGCTACCTCGAGCTGATCACCCTGATCATGTGTCCCTTATACTGCAAACCGGAAGACATCGGTCTAGCCAGCGGCTTCCTCGGCTCCGCCAAGCAGATCTTCGGCACTATCGCCAGTGAGTGTTCCCTTGCCCATGCCCTCGTTCCCAGTACCCCACCACCACCACCCCCCAAGTCTAAACCCATAGCTAACGCACCAAAGCGGCCATCTACGTCGCCATCCTCCAGAACCGGATCACCGCCAACCTACCCACGACCGTCACGCACGCCGCCACCAAGGCCGGCCTCCCCTCGTCCTCCCTCACCGACCTCCTCGAGGCCGTCGCCGCCGGCACCAGCGCCGCCCTGGAGGCCGTGCCCGGCATGACGACCAAGATCCTCGCCGCGGTCGCGGACGCGGAGAAGACGGCCTACGCGATGTCGTTCCGCACGGTCTTCTGCGTGAGCATTGCGTTCGGTGGGCTGTCGATCATCGCGTCGCTGTTCTCCCGGGAGGTGGACACGAGGCTGGATGGGGGGGTTGCGGCTAAGTTGCAGGGGAAGGGGGAAGGTCAGTCGCCGTCGCATCAGGTGTGGGAGACAAAGGGGGTGGCGGATGAGGAGGCGCGTTAAAATTTCTTCTGTTGGGTAATGATGGTTGATGTTAAGGTGGAGGTGGGGAAGAATGGGGATCTATTGGTGCGGTGTCAGTGACGCCGTTTTTTGGATTTGATGCGATTGATCTATGTTGAAGATTTAAGATTTAATGGGTTCATGAAGCAATTTATGGATGGTTATGAGTGAGATTTGTTTTGTAGGCGCTGGGATTGTTGTCTGCTTGAAGAGATGTGCTCGCTAGACCGAGAGTGATGTCTTGGTTGACTCGCGCCAGTTTCGGATGTCAACTGGCACGAGTGATGTGCCGTAGGTGCCATGTTTAGATTTTCTTCTCTGTTAAGCCGCAGCTAACTTAAAGTAACTCACATTGAATTGGCACCCGGTCACCAGCAATAGTGGCCGAATCACGTGCCCCCAAGAAGCTTGACCTCTCAAGCCTTGGTGCCTCAGGCAGCAAATCATTAACCCCACCAAAAGTCGGTGTGAAGTTAAGCAATCAAGGTCTACCTACTAACCTAGTAAGTGAAGACTCGGCAGACCTCTACCTGGGATTCACCAAGCTTGACAGGGTGCAAATAGCCCCTGGTACCTGGCACGACCTACGCCACTTGCGTGCTGTGGTACCTGCAGCGGCCGTCGCAATCTCAGCACGTCGAAATCAAGACCTTCTCTCTTGCTCCCACAGATGTTCATTAGGCTAAACTGATTATTCGAGTCGCTGGCCAGCTGAGAAATGGCTTCATGGTGATGAAATGCGGGGGATCTCGCCAAGATGCTTATCTCTTGGCACCGGCAAATGCTGATCCGTCCGGCTTTCAAAATGCGGGGAAGTCGCCGACAACCTCGTGTTCGCCGGAGGGGCAGAGGGGGAATGCTGGTGTATCCATGGTTGAGGCGAGGAACAAGAAAAGAAACAGTAGAAGCAGCAGAAGAAGCATTTGTGGACTGCATTCCAATCACTGCCGTGGCGAGGCTGAAAACTGAGCTGCAGAAGTTTATTGGGCGGCAGTGAATGAAAGCAGCAATGATTCTCCCCGACCCATGATATGAGTAAAGCAGAAGACGCAAGGGACCAGTAGATCATTGGCAAGGATTACTCAGCCCCCGCACGGCATTACCCCGAGATGATCGCTTCCCAACCGTACGGGGTAGCTTGACTCCGCGCAAGATTTCCTCCGGCTGTCTTTCTGGCTCTTTCCCTGCTCTTCCTCTTTCGCATCCTTGTCGCACACCACCTCACTCCCTCTACAACCCCCCGCCTCAATCCAATGGACACCAAAGAAATGGGCGCCCAACCTCCAGCTCCCGACGAGCAAACCCCCGAGTTCCACGACCCGGAGATCTCCAAACCCACCGCTGAACACCTGCACGAGATCGACGATCCCGATGCTGGTCTGAGCGAGGCAGAGAAAGCCAATATCGTATGTATCGTGCTTGCAGTTGGGAACGTGCAATTGACCTCCACACCTGCAGGACCGCCGTCTACTCCGCAAGCTCGACCTGCGCCTCATTCCCTGGCTCTCGCTACTCTACCTGGCCTCGTTCCTCGACCGCACCAACATCGGCAACGCCAAGCTCGACGGACTGCAGCAGGCGCTGAACATGAGCAATGCGCAGTACAACGCTTCGCTGACCGTGTTCTTCGTCTCGTACTCCGTCTTCGAGCCCCTGACCAATGTCCTCCTGAAACGGACGCGGCCGAGCTTGTTCATTCCGACGATCATCGTTCTTTGGGTACGTCTCCCGTGGCATTCCATGACATCAACGACCCTTCCGAGGTAGGGAGGCGAATACAACCAGCCAGTAAGCTGACGTATGCTCCGACCGACAGGGCATCTGCATGACGACCATGGGCCTGGTGCACAACTACGGCGGGCTGATCACGGCGCGATGGTTCCTGGGCCTCGCGGAGGCGGGCCTCTTCCCGGGCATCAGCTACTACCTGTCGTGCTGGTACAAACGCTCCGAGTTCGGCATCCGCATGGCGATCTTCTTCTCCGCCGCGGCGCTGGCCGGTTCCTTCGGCGGACTGCTGGCGGCCGCGATCGCCAAGATGGACGGCGTGGGCGGCAAGCAGGGGTGGGCGTGGATCTTTATCCTGGAGGGGCTGGCGACCGTCGTCATCGGGGTGCTCTCGTACTGGCTCGTCTACGACTTCCCGGACCGCGCGGCGTTCCTGAGCGCGGACGAGCGCAAGCGGGTGTTGCGGCGGTTGGCCGCGGATAAGCAGGCGAGCGGGTTGGGCGAGCACGAGTTCAAGACGGCGTACATCTGGGCCAGTCTGAAGGATTCGAAGACGTGGTTGGGGTGTGTGATCTACATGGGGGCCGATGGGGCGTTGTATGCGTTTTCGCTGTTCACACCGACTATCATTAACCAACTGGTGAGTTTACCCTCCTGCAGCGGGTCATGGTGGTGCTAACGCTGGGATATAGGGTATTTCCTCCTTCTTCACCTACTCACTAGCTTCAGCTTCAGCTGTTGGGCACTGACACAAGAAAGGCTACTCCTCCACCCGCGCCCAGCTCCTCAGCGTCCCTCCGTACGCCTGCGCCGCCATCCTGACCGTGAGCATCGGCTACCTCGCCGACCGCACCCGCCAACGCGGTCTGTGCAACATCTGCGTGTCGCTGATCGGCATCGCCGGATTCTGTATGCTGCTGGGCTCGAAAACCCCCGGGGTGCAGTACGCGGGTGTCTTCCTCGGCGCCATGGGCATTTACCCCTGCATCGCCAATACGATCTCCTGGGTCAGCAATAATGTGGAGGGTGAGTTCCGTCGCTATTGATGTCACTCCATGGCAGCCAGCAGCCCCCATCACCCTCTGCCATACCGTGTCGGCTAACTGGAACGATAAACACTAGGAGTCTACAAACGCGGTATCACGCTCGGGCTGATGATCGGCTGGGGCAATCTGAACGGCATCGTCTCGTCGAACATCTACCGCAGCGAGGACGCCCCGCGGTTCTATCCGGGACATGGCGTCGTGCTGGGGTATCTGGTGATGTTCCTGTTTGGCGGGTCGGTGACGCAGTATCTTCTGTTGAGGAAGGAGAATCGACGGCGGCTGCGCGGGGAGCGCGATCATCGGTTGGAGGGGTTGGGGACCGAGGAGGTGGAGGTGTTGGGGGATAAGAGGCCGGATTTTATTTACACTTTGTAGAATCTAGGGTATGCTGAACGGTTATCGCGAGGGGATGAGCGTGGTTGAAGTCAGGGTCAGATGCTCCAGGTAGGATGGGAATACATTTCGAACTTACAATGATGCTGTTTGAAGCTGTTGCAGTAAAGTCTCAAAGTTCAATCCATGAAGGGGAAAGTATGTGTGGTGTAGTGCAGTCCTTGCCATGGCTTTGTGGCAATACGGCTATCTCGTCGTGCCGGTTACCACAGCCCCAGACCTTCCCCACGGCCGTCGCTTAAGATAGCCCGGATCATCGAACCGTGCTCTTGGCAATGAGCTTATCTACTGTCCAGCAAAAGCTACGGCTGACGAGCGTGGGGCACCATCTGCTAGGGGATCTGAAATCAGGATTTCTGCAGCAAGTGGGGATCGGAGGGTGGGCTAATAACCTTTTTTTCGGTTGTCTCCGGTGGCATGTTGAATAAATGTTATCGGAGAGACTATCTTTTCCGGCCGACTCTCTGCTATCCGGCACTCTACTGTACTTGTTCAGGTCTGATTGGGGTGTTCCTTATCGGAAGGGTATCTCTATCTGGAATACAAAGGTGAAACAAAAAAAAAGGAAAGAAAATCGCCGCTGAGTCGGTCTAGAATCTGTCATGCCAGGATCTTCCTCCCTGGCTGCGCGACAAAAACCTGCCGTACGACGAAAGAGGCATTGCGTGAGGGTCATGCGCTGGCAATCGGAGCGAGTAAAATGCCGTCGTCCTGTTTTGTGGACAGGCTGAGCTCCTCCAGGGTATTGGCATGGATTTCCGCCCCATGTTTTCTCCAGAGCCGTCGGGAGATTCGCCGATCCAGTCGTCGAGTAATTGTTTGTCGAGGGATGCAAGGGTCAAGTCAACTTGACGCCCCATCACCCTTACTTTTCGTACTTCAACCACAGTCCCAATATTAGCCCACGCCAGCAAGTCAAGGGAAAATAAAACGAGTAACCAGTAGCTACCTTGAACAGCAGGGCCGAAATATCCTCCGCATCTTCTTTATTGACCCGGGACAGCAGCAGCTCCAGCATCAATCGATACTCATTCGCCTCCGTGACCAGTTGATCCATCTCCCTGTCAAATGCCAACCCCGAAGATTAACCGCGATGTCCATGTGATAAATCTATCCGAATCCTCATCAGAGAGGGAAGGGGATCATGCCTACCTCTGGATCCGCTCACGCTTATGGGCCGGGTACCAGCATTGCTTGCCCAACATGGCACACCGCTGGCATTGGTTCTTCTCGCCGGTGCACTTGAATTTCCCCTGTCGACACGAGTTGCACGCCAGCGCGGCTCGGCTCTTCGGGGCGTATCCGCGTCCCGCCTGTCGCGGGATGGGTTTCTTGTTGCGGATTATGGTATGTGAGGGAGGGTTCGGGGTGGTGGTGGGGGTGGTGGTAGAGGTGGTGGTTGTGGTTGTGGTTGGGGTTGGGGTGGTGATGGTCGATCGGGGGAAGGGAAGGGCAAGGGGGAGCGGGGAGGGTTCTTCGGACGATTGGCTTTGTCGTTCAGGCGATGGCTGGGGTTCGGGTTGTTGTCTTGGTAGTTGTCTGGGTAGTTGTCTGGGTAGTTGTCTGGGTAGTTGTCTGGGTAGTTGTCTGATCTCGTCCGTGCCCCCCATTCCCACCCATTTGGGCGCTTCGTCAATGTAATTCAGGACTCGAGAGATTTCCATCACGGCCGATCGGGAGGGGGAGATCGATCGTGTAGTAGATGTAGATGTAGATGTGTAGGCGAAGGGTGGGAAATTATGGGGTAAACCGGTTGGAAGTAAGAGTCAGGTAAATAAGAAAAGCCCACCAACAAACAGCAAAGGTGGGCACTATGGTCTACTTTTGTAGAATAGGCTGAGCGCAAACGGGAACTCATCAAGTGAATATTTCCGTACTTTGCTCAGCGGCAGCAGTAGCAGCAGTAGCAGCAGCGGCAGTAGTAGTAAGTTAGTAGCAGCAGCAGCAGCAGTAGTAGTAGCAGCAGCCAAGCCCTTCATTCCTTTACCTTCCACTCCTGGGCTGAGAGGGACTGTGAAAGATGGTGACGTAGTGGGTTAGGGCTCCCTTGCAGCCAACCACCAAACAGGTTTGAATAAACAGGCGACTGGAGGCCACTCGAGTCCACTGCATTCCACTGTCTCCACCTCACTTTCCCTCCCCGAGACTAGTTGTTGGCTGCTCAAGGCAAGGCAAGTAACTTTGCCGGCCGCTTGGGGCTCCCAGGGCCTCGACCCTCGGTCGGTGCATTTTCCACCCAGTCGACTTGGTTTTTCCTTTGTTTGTGATTTTGGACCTGTACGTCTGACCATGCTCAGCTCACCCATCTAAACCGGATTACCAGGAATTAAGATAGTTCTCAATTCCAGGTTTTTGTTTACTGTCTCTGCAGTACTCCGTACTATGAAGGGAGAAAGACGGTTGTGAACTTGTGAGTGAGACCCTCCTTCACTCTTTGACTAGTAATCATGTAGAACCTCCTTCCCCTCGGGTTGAGCCGAGTAAAGCCGACAGAAACCAACCCAGAATGCTCGCTACCGGAAAAAACACCTCAGAGCTCCCTCCCAGCACCTCCGGTGACGTAGGGTAGCAGTGGAAAAGTAATTTAACACTTTGGCCTTCGGGACTATCTTCCTGGACCTCGAGTCGATGGGTTCCACTTCTTTCCATAGTTCTCGAAAGTCGAACGCATTCAGGGGCATGTGAGCTTTTTTTTTTTTTTTTCTTTTTTCTTTTTTTCCTTTCGTGTTGCCTTTGCGCCTTTGCCCCTACGCTCTCCGTCCTCTTACCCCGCCTGTCTGTCGCCTACTTCTTTCTGACTTCTACGGAGTACTAGAGTAAGACATGCACGATTCGTATTTTAGGCGAGACTAGCCAGTGGAGGCGTTTTTGGCGGTGTCATCTCCCACACCACCCTTTCCCCCTTCCCCCCATTCAATAAGAGACCTGTAAATCACGGATTCGATATCCGGGTGGGGGAAAGATGCAGTTTTTCCAGCCTGGCCGTGTGGTGCAGTGGGCCTTGGCAGTTTCCGCGATCGGACTTGGTGGCTTGAGAGGTGATGAATCATCCTTTCCGTGCCTGTGATACGCGGATCTCCGTCACACCCTCCCAAATACCCTGGATGCCTCGTCTTACTCACATCAGATCGAGATTAGCTTTGAAAAGGGGAGGAGGGGGGGGGAATCCCCGGGGGTTCTATGTATCACAGAGTTTCCATGGCAGAAGCACAGCTTTGAATCTGACTTTTGGACTGATTCATCGCACGGGGTTTATGATCCGTACTTATGCTCGAGGAGGGTACCTAGTTTTTGATTCCCCCCCCCCCGAAAGAGTAACCTGTAGTGCAGACCGGCGGCTACCAAGGTCCTACTCGCATCAAAATCCAGTTTACAGGGCTGGACGGGGGATTGTTGCTGGCCACAAAACAAGGTCTTTCGCAGTGGCCGCTGCAGGGTGGCCACACATGCATCACAATTAGATCAATCGATGGGGGGGGGATTCTACCGAGTACCGACCATACTTTATCCCCGGTTGACGGGTTGCTGTTGGCGGGGATCATTCACAATTGACTTGGGGGTGGAATCCAAGTGACCCCGACCTCGGAGGTGGGTTGTTTCCTTTCGATGTTTTGGTGGAGGGACAGGCTTGACACATTTGTCTGGGTCGGTCGCCGTTCTCTGCTGCACACAGCTCTAATTGAGTCATCTGGGGATCTTGGATTGTCGAGTGCTACAGAGATTCCCATCAAGTGCATAGCTCACCCCTTCAGCAAATATATCTGAGATCTGATCCGTGGCCGAACATGGGGGAACTCCGGATGCTGGTAGGCTTGCTGCAGGACCTGGGAACTAACTTAATAGCCCACTACGGAGACTGTCAAGTCTCCCAGCTATCCCCAAACTTGGACTTGCCTCCAAACTAGACATCCCCCAACCCCCGTGTCGAAATTGTGACCAGATGAGGTCAACCTGCTGCGATCGTCCGCCCGTCCTTCGGATTACCTCAGCCGAGATTACGAGATTACCCTTAACCTACGGAAGACTCATAGCAAATTGACACTACATAGTATGTATGTATGAGTCTGGAAACATCATTCCCACCAAATGTCACCAAGACTGATTCTAACGAACCTGCAAAGGTGAAATATCTCACCTCATTGATGGTCCGAGGAGATCGCAACTCTCCTCCTCCCTGCCCCACACTAACCTGAGACCTTCCAGCGGGCCTTCCCCAACAGTCCAAACTCCAATCTCATCCACCCTGCAAGAAGTGGAGTTTCCGGCGAATATTTCCGAGCTGCGGGCTCGCTTAGAAGGGGGTAATTGGCGAAGGATCAACAGTAGAATCTCCCGCGCTTAACGACATAACTACTACACAAAGGGGCATAGGTTTTGGGCTATCTCCAATGACGGAATGGCGTCCATGCGTGCCAACTGCCGACTAGTTCTGACCATTGACCACTGACCACTGCGGTAAGCGTGGTTGTCAGCACGGCCAGGTGCAATTGATCTTGTTGCGAATGATGTCAGTTCATTGCTTTGTGTCCTTGGGTGACGAAGGTGCAGTCGATCTTCGACCTTTACTCAAATTCCTCCAGAATTTTATGGAGTACGTACGGCAGTACAGTTGCCGTTGCTCACGTAGGCGATTAACTTCAAAACCACCCGTTGGCTAATATATTTCCCGCTCGTGGTTATTGGCCCTGACTTTCACCCTGGAATCATTTTCCGGACTTGATGGTTGATTCTGTGTATAGAGGAGCCGCCAGTCTTAGTCTTCTGCTTCACAGGAGGGGAGTCGCCATCGTCACCACTCTTAATTCCCTGACCTGCTTATCATTTGCTGATGCGGTGGGCTTCTAACTCTATTTTGAAGTTCTTCGTACAACCAAAGAAGCTGATTCAACGTGTTCTTACATGACCTGGATTTGCTAGATAGTGAACTGGCGCAGGCCCTTGTGGACGGTGAATGCCAGGCATTCCCTAGCAGTGATTCAGGTTGAAGGTCTCAGCCATATATGCTTTTTTGGAAAGAAGCTGATACATTTGTTTAAAAAAAACAATTCAACAGGTTCGGAGAGTGAATGAGAGCCTTGCTGCATTGCTTTCCTCAACCTGCTACAGCGATGCTGGGAAAGGTCTACAAGCCCAAACTTATGCATCTCAGTCCCGATATATGTATCCGCGTTGAGTAATCCGGATCGCAGCACACCTGTACCACTGGATTTTTGGCTTATATGCTCACCCATAGTTATGAGCCTCAATTATCACTACAGAATATACATTGTACGAAAAGCATTCAATAAGAGACGATCTATTCATGGGCTTGCAAAAACGAGTATGTTCGTGCCTGAGGCTGCATCTATACTGCCGTGGTCAGGCACAGGCGGTGAAGGCGACCGGTGGCCGGCACCTGCCATTTTTGGAAATGGTGGCAGGCGCGGGACTCGGTTTCTCTCTCAGTCAACATCACCGTCATCCCATTTAGATTCTCCTCCTCTTCTCGATGAATTGATCGATATCTAGATTCTCAGCCCCTTGTTGAGTCTCTCCGCACCGAGTTCTGCTCAATCTGAATCCCCTCCCGTCGCTACCAATTTCCTTCTTGGCTAATGCTTACTTCTTCGTCCATTCTGTGGCGTCAAATGAACATCGTCAACTCGATTGCACATGCAGTAGTACGCTCATCCCCTCAACTGAAGCGCTTACTTAGGATGACGCTCCTGGCATGAACGCGCGTGGTTTTCAGCTGAGGGGAAGATTGGAGGGGAATGGCGCGCAACAGACACAAACACCCTGGAGGATGAGAGAATCCCCCATCAGACTCCCTCCCTCGACATGATCGTTCTCATTGCGCCTTCCTCCACCCGCGCGATCAGCTTCGAGCCCAACACTGATCGTCGAGTCTTCCCGGCCTCAGAACTTCGCGAGCAACAATGACCGCAACCTCCGAACCCAACGACGAGTACAACCTCCAAGAGGCGTGGGAGCGCGTGTGCCACTCGTTCGCGCAGACCACCAAGGTCGATCTGACGACCGCGCCGAATTACACCATCGAGGAAGTCTGTCCGGGAAGCGGAGGATCTCAAGGAACACTAAATACAAAGAGTGGAAGGCTGTGATCGACAAGACGCTGGCATTTGTGAAGGTTCTTGGGGGCATTGTTGCGCAGGGCGCGAGCATGGTACGTCTCAGTCACCCTCGTGCCGATTAGTTCGAACAGTGGGCTGAAATGTTCTCCCTTTTTCCTTTCTGGCACAGGTGTTCGCGCCCAGTAGCCTCTGTTTCAATGCTATCGCCTACCTGATCGACACCGGGGCAAAGTTCAAGCGCATCTTCAGCAGCCTGGCTGAGCTGTTCCGGAAGGTCTGTGACGTGTTGGACCGCATGCAGATATACATGCGCCTACCGAGCGACCGTAAAGATCCGAGTGTCAGAAGACCAACCAGAGATCCCGACAGGGACAGTATTGAAACAAGACAAATTTTGGTCACTGAGACGGAATCAAGAAGAGAGCCTCGACCAAAGCAGATCCACAGCCTGGCATTAATCTTACTTACATATGGGCGATACGACGATGCTATTGAGCGATTGAAGCTGGCGTCATCACTTATGTCTGAGAACTGGGAAATAGAATGGGACCTGGCACATACATACGCGTTGAAGAAAGATTATGCGCGTGCCATTCGGACTCTCGAGGCGACAACTGAAAGACTTGCTGCTGAAAGCAATCAGGCGCCGGAGGGATCCTCAGGCAAGAGATGCTTATTGTTTTTGAAGCAGGATGTGGCCTCTTGGTATGAGGCGGCTGGTCACGAAGACCAGGCCCTCACAATGTACAAGGATCTTCTCGACGAGCACCCGGGCGAGTTCGACCCGCTGAACAGGCTGTTCGCAAGTTTCCATAAAAGAAACGACTATGAAAGCGCCCTTCACTTTCTTCGTGTTTTGGAGGGCGCCGTCGACCCCACCACGGAGCTCGACCGACGCACAGCTGCAGTTCGCTCGTTGTGGCTTGACGACAATTTGAATAACGCACTGTTTGCTCTGGCATCTAACACTGATGTCCTTGATGTTGTACTCGCCAGTTACAGGATGGCTATTGCTGCTGCTGAGGCGGAGTGTGAGGCCCAGCGAGAAGCACTGAGAAATGGAGAAATTGAATCCCAAGACCCCTGGATGGGCTATGTAAGAAGCGGGCTAAAGTACCATCACGCACGCCATCGTTAATAGTACCTTGGCCATCAAAATGAGGATCGAATTCACGCCATTCAGGAATGGGAGCGCGTCCTGGATGTGTGTCCAGCGAATGCCGCCGTCAAAGATCTGTCCCTCATTTGTAGTCGGACGGAAAGCCGACTCGCATCGGCGTATTATACCGAGGTGCAGCATAACCTGGACACCGGCGCATCATACATGATCAAGCTCGAAAAGTTGGCGCGAGTCGCAACTTGCGAGGACTTGACGGACGAGTTCAAGCGACATGGCGCACAGCGGCTTGCACACTACCACGTCCTTCGGGGTAGCATGGAAAGGGCCCAGGATACGCTACGTCCATTCCTCAAGGCCGACCTCGCTCTTCTCTCTGACAACGACCCACTCAATGATTGGGAAGGGTACATTCGTCTTGCCGGCCACCTTCGAGTAGTTGGCATGTGGGATGCCACTGTCGCAGCTTGGTCCCTGGTTAGCCCGAATCCCGACTACTCGGACAACCCCTGGAAATCCCGGGGACCTATGGATATCTTTTGCGAGGGGGGCTGTGGGGCCCACTGGACCTATGCGGATGACCTCTATGTGTGCAAAACTTGCACAGGTGTTCATTACGACAAAGCCTGCGCGGACGAACTGCGGGCGGGGACGCTTGCAGTGGAGATCTGCAGCCATGATCACGAGTTGCTGCATGTTCCGCCCTATGATCCCATCGCCCAAGCGAGGATCGGCGAAGGCAATGTCCGCGTGGGCGGGGAGGTCCTCAGTGTCAAGGCATGGCTTGAGCGGATTAGACAGGAATGGGGGCTAGAGTTGGGAGGCTAGACCCGGCTGCCTTTAGTGATGGCTCTGTCTAGTCCCACTATCTGCTCATGGCAACGGAATCATTGTCCCTAGCAAGGTTGCAATGAAATGTGAGCATCTACTGAGGGTAGTCCACCACAGGTCTTGTTCGCCCTACACGACTGGCCTAGTGAATCCGGATAGCTACCACTCGGATGCTCTTTGACTACTGGTATTCTGACCAGAGATGCTGTGTAGTGAAAATGACTACTACCTCGTACTCTGATGTTGCTGAGGCTAATTCCAGCCACAGTACAGCCGCTTTTAAGTTATGCACCCAAACGGAGCGGTGGCTTTGGTACCCGCTCAGTCGAAGCAAGTGGCTTAGTCTATAGTCTATTTCCGTGTAGCATCAGCTTAAAATACCTGCTCGTGATTGACCCAAGAGTACTCGAGCAAGCACGGGTTCGTGTTGCTGCTGTTGTTTGGTACGCCGGCGAGCCACTTTCGATTATTGGTGGTGTCGTATCTCTTCCATGGTTCAGGCCGCGGAGGCACTGCACCCTGTCACTATTTTTGTCCACACAAGCCTTGTGGAATAAGCCTTCCCCGGATTTATTGGAGCTTTCGGTGCGAATAATCTTAGGTCGGAGGGCTCAGCCCGAGGCACTGGTGAGTCTATCCATGGTTGGGTGCCGGCCGTCTTTATTGTTTGACAGGCGTTTGGATTGAGCCTCACTGTTTACCATACTGTCAGGGAGTATAGCCTCTCTATCTGCAGTAGATATAGCTTGTAGTATGAAGATGAAGTCTATATAAACCTCAAGAGCATCAGACAACATCGGTTTGACATCCTCACAACAACAGCAAGTACAACAGCAACATTCAAGTCTGCTCTCGATCGTTCAATCTCCAAACCAAGCCTCTTTGCTACAAAGATCAACCATCGCAATGTATGCTTCAGCATCTACTCTCGTCACCATTGCCTCGTTCGGACTTCTTGCGCGGGCTCTGCCCACCGCTCGCTCGCGCAACGATGTTCCAATAACGTTCTACGCGGCTGGTGGTGTGCAGCTCACCCAAAGCTTTTCCACTGACGGAGCTCCTGTTGCCATCAGTACGATATCCCCTCACATTACTTACTCGTGCTTGTTCTTTCATGGTTGCTAACACTTGATCCAACAGACAACGGACTGAGCATCTCCCGCATCTCATCCAGCACCCCGGATGTTACATGTGTCTTCAGCGGTATAGACCACAGCAGCACAACTGTCCCAGGCGCCGCGATAGTAGACGTCGGACCGCCGCAGGTTCAAACCCAGGGCTACTGCTTCGTGAGCTACGCTCCATCATCGACCCCAGTGAGCTCGTGGGTACCTTCGCCGTCCGCCACTCCGCCAATCCTGATCCAGCCCGATGACGCGTGGACAATCTGGGTTCAGCCGACAGAGACCCCGTCAGTCTGGCGTCGGTCTAGGCAGGACTTGTCGGCACCAGGCCAGGGCTCCGGCAATGCGCCAGAACTGGAGGTTGAGGATCCACCCACTTTTGCCCAGGAGCCGGAGGAGCCCTCCACTACTACTCCCTCTTCTGAGGAGATTACCTCGCCGCCTCCTAGTCCTCAGGAACCGGTTATTACGGACCCGTTGCCGGGTGATTCGACTGCGCCATTGACATCCTCGTGCTCGACGACACCTTCCCCTGTTGTTACGTGCACTACGACTCCGTCGCCTGTATCATCTTCAACTGTGACTCCGTGCCATGAGTGCGAATCTACCACGATACCGTCGGTTGTGACCTCCTGCATTACGACTCCCTCACCTGTGGCGCCGCCCACTACGACGCCATGCAACGAGTGCGAGTCTACTCCTACCCCCTGTGTTGACTGCGAGCCGACCCCCACTCCATGTGATGACTGCGAGCCGACCCCTACTCCCTGCAAAACCTGCAAAACGACCCCTGCTCCGTGTCCCCAGAATCCTTGCGTCAACACGACCTGCTCCGATGACACCTGCCCTGACGATAATTGCCCCGAGGAACCCTGCACTAGTCCATCGCCCACCCCAGTTGAGTGCCCCGACGCCGGCTGCCACGAGGACCCCTGCCCCGACGGGAAGTGCCACGACAACAACAAGCGTCCATCATACACCCCATCTGAGCCCTCGGGAGACCACATCGAGATCACCTTCAACGGAGAGGTCAACGCCGACTTCGCCGAGTTTACTCAGTAATTCCTTGCCTCGACGGGACTGGCCCTTCGATCGTGGTTTTGAGAGTCAACCACCGTGAATGATAATGAGGCCAGATCACGGACCTCGGGCGAATCCAGATAGAGGTTAGGGGGGTTACGCTGCTACTTCCATGTTTTGGGATATACGGGTTGAGAGCGCGTTTCTGTGGAGACGAAAGTGTGGACGGAGTCGATTGTCCCTTGCTTTGTGCTTTATTGCTTGGCTACTGCTCATCCTGTGATGATTGACTTTTCTGTGTACATTGTCCTTTCCTTCCTCTTTTCTTGAGTTAGTTTGGCAGTGAGACTTCTACAGCTTTACATCATGGTTTTTACATGCATCACAGCACAGTTGCGCAGACAGTCATAATTTTTCTTGTCCATGCATGCGTTGTTACTACTGCTCACCAATACAATAATGACCGAAATTGTCACTCGTTATCTGGCACCGACTTGATCGCCTCCTTTCGCCGTGGAAGGTCCGGCCCTGGCATCAACATGGCATTGGATCTAATCACACTGCTTAGGCCTATCTTATCGGTTCGGCGCCGAGTCCCGATGCGAAACCAGTGGCTCCACTTTTGGCTTCGGCGCCGACTGACGTCAACCTCACCGGGGACGGAATAGAGCCAGGCGCAATAACTAGAAACCTTGAAGTAGACATATTCTGATGTGCAGGGATAGGAATCGCACTCTTGTTATGATTAACGTTACATCATTGTTCGAGCCGAGCCCAAGGTGGACAAACAAAGAGTAAACACCTGACTATGACAACCACACCTGGCCAAAGAAAAGAAACTGCAATAGCCACAGATTACCAATTGAGTGGAGATAAACACCGAAGATACGTTTACAGTACATTAACAACACAACCATGTCAAACACATCCACCTCACCATCTACCAACGAATCCACACTCAAAACCCCCCAACACACCCTCCCCACCAGCCCTAACCCCGCTTCACCCACCGCCACAACCGCGAAACATCCACCCCACCCCGCACCCGCACCCCCCAATACAACCCCAACGCCGCAACCACATTGAACCCGATGTACACCCACATGAGCCCGAAATTCCGCCAGCGATCCGCATACTCCGCCGACAGTGCCGTCAGGTACACGTTCGAGTCCGTCATCTGGCAGTAGGCGCAGTCCCGCGTGGCCTGCGGGTTGGCGACGCTGCCGCCGGCCTGCTGCACGTACGCGGCCAGATAGCTGCCGCAGGTCTGGTTGGACGGGGGCTGGATCGTGATCTGCTCGAGGGTGGAGCAGTGGACTTCAGTGTTGGCCAGGCCGGTCGAGAGCATGCCGCTGACCAGGTAGGTTAGGGGGGAGACGCGGTACATGAAGATCCAGAAGCCCGGGAGGGCCGTGGGGGAGGCGAGGACCCTTTACTTCGTGGTTAGCTGGGATCGATGGGGAAGATGAACTGAACGAGAGATAGGGTGGGGACAAACTCTCACCCGCAGAAGATCAAGCACATGCAGAACAGCAGCAGCGCCAGCGTCGCGCCCACCTCGGCCGTCGCCACGCCCGCCACCATCATGACAGTAAAGGTGCCGCAGTGCATCAGGAAGGACCAGATGAGCAGGAACATCAGCCCGCTGCGCTCGCGCGTGGCGTGCGTCTCCTGCGCGTTGCGGTCCATGCCGATCAGGTAGTAGAACGGGAGGAAGATCAGCACCGCCGCCAGCGAGTTCCAGGGCAGGTCCGCGAAGACGTTGGCCAGCATGAAGGCCGACCAGGCGTACGTCTTGGCCGGCCGTTCGCGCACCTCGTACAGGTCTCGCTGCTTGATGAAGTTGGGCATCGTCTGGTAGGCCAGGAAGGCGAAGATGACTAGAAGCATGAAGATCGCGTAGGTCTGGTGCTGCAGGCCGAGGATCGTGATTTCGGTGTCCAGGAAGGAGAGGCCGATGAACAGGGCCTGCGTCGGTGATGAGGACTGCATGTAAAGAGGAGCAGGGGGTGCAGACTTACCGCGCCAAAGCAGAGGATGAGCTTCGCGTAGATGTAGGAGGGCGTTCGCCAGTACTGCTCCATCACTCGCTGGGTACATAGTTGGAGCTGGGTCAGAAACGGCGCCGCGTACTGTTGGTCAGAGTCGACTGCAGAGCTTTGCGTCGAGGCCTGGCGCTCTTCAAGATGCTGCAGCTTTCGTCGCACCTCCTGGTATTCACGACTCCCCTTCCATGTCGCTGCCCAGTCGTGCGTGGATTGCGTACCAGGCGCTGCCCCAATCACTTCTAGCATCCATTCAGCCGGGTTTTCTTCACGGGTACACAGCCTGGCACCGTGTCGTTCGAAGTAGCGGGTCAGCACCTGTGAGTTTTGTCCTATCGGTCCAAAGTAGACCGTGCGACCGCCCTTGGCCAGGAGGAGTAGACGGTCGAACTGCTCGAAGAGAATCGCCGAGGGTTGGTGGATGGTGCACAGAATCGCCTGCCCGTGGTCGGACAGCTTGCGCAGCAGTAGGGTGATCGACCAAGCAGTCTGACTGTCCAAACCCGAGGTTGGCTCGTCAAGAAAGACCAGTAGATCGGGTTTTGCAGCGAGTTCCACCCCGATAGTCAACCGCTTCCTCTGCTCAACGTTCAGACCCTCGCCCGGAACACCGACGACTGCATCCGCGTACGCCCGCATTTCCAGCAGGTCGATCACCTCCTCGACGTATTGATACTTGTCCGCTTTGCTCACCGATGCCGGCTGTCGGAGGAGGGCACTGAACCGCAGCGCTTCACGAATGGTACTGGTCTCGAGATGGACGTCCTGCTGCTGAACATAGCCTACCCTCCTCTGGAACGAGGCGTCG